AAATCTGCAATCGGTTATACTATGTTTGGCAGTGTTCTCTGTATTTCTCATAACATTTCTCTTATTTCTCAGAGTCTCACATAAGTCATATATCGCTAATATATATTTATTTTCCTTTCCAGTTGGTCGGTATAGCTATTCTCACTACTATCATAGTCATCAGTTTAAAATGTCAGAATTGTAACAGTATTCCCACCGCTCCCACCACCACTCAAATTCTCACCGGTAAGATGAAATTAAAAACATTGTATTATCCTACCGATAATCTTTAAAGAAATAATTTTTTTTTAAAAATAGTCTTTAGATATGTAGAGGGCACATAAGAGGTGTGATCAACCATGCATTTTTTTATATACATATTTCAAGTTTCTTTTAGCCTCAAAGTCTTATTCATAGCTGGTCAAATCACCCTCAAATTGAGATTATTGATCTATTTTTTTCATTAAAAAAATCTTCAATAATAAAGGTAGCTTACAATTAAAGTAAAAAAATAATAATGTTTTAGTGCTTAATTTAAAAAATACAAACCTTTATAAAAATGAACAATATAAGCTATCAAATAATTGCAACTTAGAACTTTTTATTACGTTTACTAAAAAAATAAAAGGAAAAATATTTTTTTTAAAATGTGTTAAACTTTCTCCTATATATAAAAATGGAAAGTTCTACGTATAATGTTCGCTAATAATGTAATAAAAGAGGAACCTTTTTTTTTCTTCTACGTCCAAATATTATGGGGTGGTTTATTAGTTAATTCATCCATCCCTCGCAGTATTATGTAAGAACAATACTTGAACAAAAATGCTCATTTTTTTAAAGTACAAAAAAATGAATATTTTTTTAAACAGTGGGTTGAAACACCCATGCTTTCACTATATATAAAATGAAAAATCCTTATGTACGCATATATGCTTGTTAATAATTCAAGATAAGATCAATCGATTAACATCGAATTTTTTGTCTTTTGCATGCAAATATTATAGCTTGGTTTATCTATCAACTGCGCAAGTTTCAAAGCGTTATATATAACAGGAAGATGCATAACTGTTGTGACAAACTTCTAGGAAGGATAGGGCACATCATCAGAATTAAAATTGCACAGGAGCCCAGGCCAGGAAATGTCATTATACGCCAATAGGGGCACTTTCTTTTTTTTTCCAAAAAAATTATTCTCGCATCGAAGATTATTGGTGCTTAATTAAACTAGCTTATTTAATTAGTTTAAGGTTAGTTATTCATGGTTATTTATTCCTTTTCGTTCCTTAAGCGGGACAGATTTTATGCTTATCTCTGATTACCAACCCTAACCCTGATACGGTATAAATAGACGGTATCAATAAAAGGTAATTCTAGATGCCTAAGCGTTCTCTTCTGTCAAAATAATTGCCACGTGTTTACAAAGTTTTGGCCACTCTTGTTGTCAATATTTTACATTTGCACTCAAACTTTGGTTTGTGTAAAAAGAAGCTACGAAATAAATGACATTCGATAAGAATTTAGCACGTTTTAATCCAGATCATCCTCATTAAAAGTGTTAATGGATCCTGCAGCACACACACGTATTGGCTTGAAAGATAAGAGCTTACAACAGAAAAGTAGCCATAAAATTTTGAGCTGGAGTATTTATTTACGTTATTGAAATGACAAGCGGAGTAAAGATAAAGGTGTTAAGTGATGTAACAAAATGATATAATCTCTTTAAATTGTGTGTAAAATATGAGTTAATTTTGATGTATTCAAAGTTCAGAGTCCTTTATCTGAGTTTAAAGAGTTCTTATTTTTCAGGTGCTGAAAATTCTAAGTAATGATTTTAATGCAAAGATCTTATGAATATAGAAATTATTTCGGATATATTTAAAATTTAGAGTTCGGTATTTGCAAGAGTTCAAAAAATCTAAATAATTTGCGTGCTAAAAACTAAAAGTAATGGTTTCAATATGGTTATAACTCTTAATTAAATTATTTTTACTAATAAATAAATAAAAACTGATGTAACTAGTGTTTGTTAACAAAAGTGGCGTTTTGAAAAAATAAACAAGATTATGAAGGCTGTTTTTTAGGTAAGGGCTGTTTTGCTGTGTGCACTAATAGGTGGCGCGTGCGTCGCAACCAGTGCTTGTGTCGTGTCCTGGCATACCTTGGGAACAACTGTGCTCAGTTACAACTGAGTAGGTAATACAGTCGGTCAGTTCTATATCTTTAAAGTGTTCAAGCTTAACAAATCACGTATGAGGTATGGTCAGTGATGCGTGTTTAGATGTTAAAAAACCTATCTGTTCCATTCATTCACAGGCAGATTTTTGAAGTTTACGAAGCTTCCTACTGGTATGCTAACAAGAAAATTTGCTACTTTATGACAATGACTCTCGCCACAATTCTGTCCCGAGCTTTATTGAACTCTTTCGGCTAGGAAGTTTTGGATCAACCCTCAATACAGCCCAGACCTTGCGCTAAATAATTTTAATCTTTTCCGATGTTTCAAACATCATTTCAACATCGATGACGAAGACGCGAAAACGGTCGTGACCAGGCGGCTAGTTACTATGGCGAAGATATTCTAATCTTGTTGTAAGATATGATAAGTGTTTAAGCAGACTTGGCAACTATTTTGAGAAAGAAAAAAAAAAGAGAAACGTGTGTGGAATCAAAAAGTAAATTTGCTTCATGAGAATTTTCCTTCGTTTAGTTCTCATTTTCAAACGGCCCTTACTTAAAAAAAACAGCTCTCGTATTTACCTATTTTAAAACACAGGAATCACCTTTAATTAGCCCTTTACTTAATATCCGCCTAAAAAGAGGAAATTATAACAGTTTTTAGATTACGGTTTAAGAACTGATATTTAAGAGAAAAACCTTTAAAAATTTGCCTATTAATTACACTGGGGAGCAACGTTTGTTTTGTTTTCTGTATCTGATTTTTAGGTACTTTCGTATCACTGATTTCAAATCTGCAATCGGTTTCTCCTTCCAGGCAACAGTTTTTTTTTTTTTAAATCTCAGTTTTGGTCTATTTTTTATCGAAATTGAAAAACGTCCTATTTAACAGAGGATCGCATATATGCTGTGACAAACTCCTGAAGAAATTAGGGTTAATGTCGTCATACGCCATTAGAGGCTTTTACATACTATGTTTCTTCGAGTACTCTTGAGCGGATCATAATAGAAAAGCATCTTATCCCAACATGAAACTACATATCTTGACATGGTTATGTGCTCCAACTCCTCTTGTAGTTTGTCGCAACATTTACATAACCTCCCTGATATGCATAACATTTTAAGCTTGTATATTTTTAAAAAAACTGAACTAAAACTGTAATTTAAAAAAAAATATTTTTGTAGCTTTAGGAGCAAAACTAATTTCAGATTTGAAATCCCCATACCGGAATTAGTCAAGATTATTAGTACAAATGCAACAAACAATTTGTTCCCCAATGTTTTAAATTTCAACCATGGTAAAAGTAGAAGTGGAATCATCATAAACGAGTTTATTTGTGAATTGGAATTGAAGAGTGTTCATTTATCACTTATTATTGCCTTCAAGGTTATCGATAAATAACACGGTTTAAAATAATTTTAAGTCGGAAATTACCGCGTACTTCGTTAATTATTTATGCGGTTTTGATAAATATGTCTCCTTATAACTTAAAACCAGTACAATATTCACAACACTGCAATACGATATCCACAGCAATGTTCACAAGAGTTTTATCAATTAATAATGACTTTATTTTTATGAATTATTCAGAGTTAACAACATATGAATGGTCAGAGTTTTAAATATATATATTTTCAAAACTACTGCACATAATTACAATAAGTGATACTAGAAATTCAAGAATAATATACCGTTTTTATTCTCAATTACAAGCGTTTTACGTGTGAGGTTTTTAATTACAATACAAACGTGCAATCAAATTCATTCCGCATATTTTGTAGTTTCACACAGTCAATTGGTTCCTAATGATGCAAAAATGCGTTTTTTGAGCACATGCAGTATTTTTGGCATAGTTGATTCATAAAAATAAGTCACGTGAAGTTAATTCTGGAGATCTTGGGGATTAAGTGATTTGGGATTTATTGGGTGTCATCCTCACGTTCAAGAAACTATTTTTGAACCAACGATGCAAAAAACACAACACCGAGCGAACGTATTTATGCATTGATAAATTGAAACTATTAAATGTGTGGTACGAACTACAATAGATGTTTGTCGTGTACCAAAATGGTCACAGATCGAACACTTGAAAATAGATAAATAAATGACATGGTGTAGATTCCGAGAAATTTAATGACTATGTAATTAAGGGTAAATCACCAGCAGCAGAACACACAGTTTATAACCCAATTAAATGACAGAGTTATGTGCGTGGAATGAATTAGAATAAATGTTTGTCGTATAACAAAAAAGTCACACATCTAACACACACCTGCATTGAAAAGTAATAAATCTTACAAATATAAACTCTTTAAATCTTTGCATAATACGTGCAAGAGTTACAAAAATATAAATATTTAGAATTCGGTCTTTCATTCTTCACAATCCTTTATGTTAAGGGTGGTGAGTTGAGAATATTCTTGTTATTAATTGATGAAAATTATCACTATTTAGATTCGCCTTCATTGCATTGGGAGGAAGAATGCTCATCAGAAGTTTCTGTATGCCCTGCTAGGTAAGATATGAACATAGTTTTTACCGGTGATGTAAGATTGGTTTAGAAGAGATAACTGAAGTAACTTACGATTTAATGGTTGGATTTAGAACTGTTGAAACAGAATTTTTTAATTTGATGAAAGTCTGTAAGATGTTGTATGATTTAGAATTTACTAATATAAAACGTCTCTAATCGCACTTGACATTAGATACAAAAATGGATTCTTTTGAATTAATTTAACTGTTCTTCCTTCTGTTTATATATATTGCTCCCTACTAAGAGGTAGAAATAAACAGAATATTTTTACTTGTTAGAAAAAATCTTGAAGAGATCAATAGAACTACAAGAGAAAAATAAAAAGGTTTCCTTTTTCTGGTATTTAAGTTGTTATAATAGCATAAATATATATACCGAAGAGCCATTACATTATGACCACCCTCCATCTACAACAATGGGCTCGCCCAGGTTTTCATAGTTTCTCGCCCAGGAACAATGTTTTCATGAGGCACATTGGGACCCATAATCCTCATAGAACAATCCCTGACGTCTGTAAGCTACTTGAACATAGTTGAAGACCAGGTTCACCCATTCATGGCAACAGTTTTTTCTGCTGGGGATGGTGTTTACCAACAGGATAATGCACCATGTCATAAGGGTCGAATCATAAGGGTCATTCTAGTGACTTTCAAGTCATGTCTTGGCCCTCAAATTCACCTGACCTTAAGCCAATAGAGCATTTGTGGTCCTACTTGGAAAACCAAATTCGTGCTGCCACGCTACCCCCTCGCAATATAAGGGAATTGCATGACCAGTTGGTGAGCGCTTGGTACCAGATACCTCAGACTACCTATCAGCACCTTGTGGAATCAATGCCACACGGCGGGTGCTAGCAGTTTTGAGGACTAAAGGTTGTCCTACATGTTATTAGCATGGTGGTCATAATGTAATGGCTCTTAGGTGTATATTGGCTCTTTCAAATTCTATAAATATAGAAATAGATTTTGCTTGATGAAGTTAATTCAAATATTTCACCCACCAGAAAATATAACACTTCGTAACTATACAGAGTGTTCTAAAATATTTTAAAAATAGAGGTAATTATAAAAATCCTTTTTCAGCATATTAATCTGCGCATTTTTTGTATATAACTCGCACTATCCTATAACTATCCCCTTGCTTACTGATTGCCTCGTTAACAACATTATTTCCTTTTAGTAAAATTTCGCATGATATCGAGAATTATTCCATTATGGAGCAGCGATGGCTCAGGGTATGGAGCGTTCGTCTTTCAATGAGGTGAACCGGGTTCAAATCCCAGAGATGTCTGATAGATACGAATTCCTCATCCGGCTTACACCGACCACAGTGCGGACGTGAAATATCCTCAGTGGTAGTATCCTCAGTGGATCATGAGTTAGAGTCCCCTTGCCGTCAGGATAAGTGTGAGAGGTTCTCGTGGTCTTCCTCTCCATGTAACGCAAATGCGGGTTGGTTCAAAAAGTCATCCACGAAGGCAAATTTCTCCCAATACTTGATCCAGGAGTTCCCTTGTCTTCTGGATTGTGTTCAAAATTACAAGGCTACGGAGTCGAACATTAGTAGTCGTAAACCCAAATTTGGGTCGATAAACACTTGAGTCACACTTTAAACTTTCGAATGGCTTCAGCATTACCTGTAAAAAGGGTGTCTAGGTATAATAAAGTTGTCATTTGCTTCTCGATAAAACCATTCCTTCGGTGCGAAACTGATGAGTTAGCGTTTCTATTTCAAAAACAGGGCGAAATAGAAAGAAAAAATGAATTACAAAATTGTAGAGCATCCTCAAGTCAGAAAAAAAAATTATCTCAAGGTACCATAATTTTAAATGAATCTGAAGAGAAGTTTGAAAATCGAAAAGACAGGTTTCTTGAGATAAATAGCTGTTTTTTTTTTTCTTTTCTAAGATCGTTTCGTCACGGTACACAGTATTATATTGCGAACAAACAAATACAGATTTTAAGTATTCTCTTTATCTCTTATGTCTACAACGGAGATTCTCAAACTTCTTAAGTCTCAAATCACTTTTGAAATCGGAAAGTTTTACACAGATCGTTAAATTTTTATCTTGAAGTCTTGTATAGTATTTAGTAAATTAAACGACAAAATATTAACAATGCAATGTCTTTTCGTCATTTAAGCTAGCTTGACTTTGGACTTTGGCCGTTTAAAAGTTTTTATTTTTTGAAAAATATTCCATTATTGATACTTAAAAGATACATGAAACAAATTAAAAATGAATGCAAGGGAAATATTTCCATACCACAATTAGTAATTTTTATCATTTTGATTCAATTACATTTGCTTCAAATTTTTACTTGCCTATGTTTAACACGAATTTAATGAGAAGGTCGGATTGTATTAGTCTGGTGTTGCCTTTTGACATGAATTTGTTTTGTCGCATAACATGCAGGTTATCGTCACATTAAATCTTATCTTCTTTTTTTAAATACTGTCAATGTTTTATTTGCGCAGGTGATAAACATTTAGTACTGGTTTTTTTTTAATATGATCGATAGCGCAAAAAATCATAATATTCAAAAAAAAAAAAAAAAAAAAAAAAAAAAAAAAAAAAAATCTGGAAATAAAATATTTTAGACTTTAAAATGTATTTCATATTTTCTTTTTTTAAATTTCAAGCCTCTCTTACCTTTTTCCGTAGCACTGGAAAATATTTGGCGAAGCAGAGTTTGAGAACTCTGGTCTACAACATAATCAATGCGTATAAAATCAACGATGTTCTACAGTTTGTGATTCATTTTTTCTTCCCATTTCAAAATATTTTTGATATAAGAATTTTTACTTCCCAGTTTTTCACAAGGTAGCTCTGTAAAGAACCTTATTGAGAAGCGAATCGCCACTTTACTTTACCTAGACAATACTTTTATAACTATGGCAAAAACCGTAGGAAAAAGTACAGGGGTGACTACAGACTTCAGATTTGCTTGTGGTTCAATACATTCAAACAGTTTTTCATATTATTGATATAAATACTATTCCAGCTAATTCAGCAATTATCAAAATAAAATATTTCGAATGTGTTAATATATTTAATAAATTGGTAATGAGTACACTCTTGTTTATTTTTTTTAATAATGAGTTCTGTCTAATTTGCATATACCAATTTATATGAAAATCCACAGAAATGTTAAAAATGTTCGAAAAACTGCAAGAAAAATTTCTCATGTTTAACTAAGAAACACACTGCTGAGTAGATTGGTAGATTCAACGTTTTGTCTTCTTTTTCATATAATTTCGGATTTTCAATATGATAAAAACTAATAAAATCAACTGATTTTGAATCTAATCTTTAAAAAAAAAACTAGTTTTATTTGGTGAGGTTCAGAATTCCTATTCTTAAGAAATGCAAGAAAATTTAATTTGGATTTCTACAATAAAAACTAATTGTTTTTGGTATTCTTAGAGATTTATCTTTTTCAATCATATTTTTAATTATTTATTTTCGATATTTTTTCTTAGATTTTTAATCTCTAAAATGTGAACTTTTATATAAATGGAAACATCATTTGATTATTCAGTTTTCAGGATAATCCGCCATTGCTGTTAGTTTCTCTGGATGGGCTACGAGTGGATTATCTCAAGTATGGTGTTTCGCCAACTCTTTCCAAAATCGCAGAATGTGGAGTGAAAGCTGAATTTATGTATCCCATATACCCATCGAAAACATTCCCTAATCACTATACAATTGTAACGGTAAGAAATTTTATTCGTTTGTGTTAAAATATTAGTCTCAAGATTAATATCGCTTTAAATAGTCTCAAGAAATAGAACAATTAGCTGATTTAATAAATTATGCTGAATTTATAATTTGATAAATGCAGCATACTCTCGATATCTCAAAAACCTTGTTATGTCAACAAAAAAAAAAAAAAAAANCAATTAATAGTTTTTCGGTATTATAAAACATTAAAAAAAAAAAACAAAAAAAAAACATTTTCCCCCTTGGCATTATGTATAGTGGAGAGTGGAGTCAAGTGTAACAGGGTACGATTGTAAAAGAGCAAAAATTTCGAGTGTCGGGTTCTAGATTTGGTTCCTAGGTGGCGCGCACAAAGTGTATTTAATAAATCTACATGTACACTCCTGCTGGCAGCCATTTTTATGTACTTTTGAAAGAGTTACATCACAAAAGATATTTTCACGCTACGTAAGTACTTTTTTTGGTATTAGAATATTATATTTTAACAAAGTAATTTTGTTTAAACAAATAAAAATTATTAACCGAATGTGTAAGTGGACACCTTAATTAACATTTTAAAAAAAAGAGATTAGTTTTGTTAATTAACTAGCATTGTTTTTAACAAATGAAGCTGAAATGGCGTCTTGGGGACGAGTGTAACAATAAGTAAAGGGACGATTGTAACGGCTGAAAATAAATAATCTTATGTTAACAAACCAGTACTTAACTCTTCAAGAACCACCAATAGTTTCCTATATCATTCATATTATGTTGCATGCGCATTATTTTATTTGTCACCTTTCTCTGCATAAATTAAAATTTTTAACCCCTTAAAGTTAAAAGTTTAACCCTTTAGGTCTCTGCTCATTATTATTTTTACTCCTAAAATATCACTACTATTTTGATCAATAAAAAAATATATCACAACTATGATAATATGTATAATTAACTATGTTTTAGTTGAATTTATGAACTGTTACAATTGACCCCGTAAGTGGGGACAATTGTAACAAGTGCACGACTGTCAAAAATTGTTAATAACTAATATAATAACATTTAAAATAAGGTTTTTTTTTCTACTAGAGGATAGTCTACTTTACTCGTCTGTCAATTAATACTAATAATATATTGGATTTTTTGTTACTTAAAAATAGTTAAGTAAAAAATGTTACAATTGACCCCACTCTCCCCTATACCTAATGTTAATTTGAATTTCTATGTCGAAGGGTTTCGTCTCAAGACCTTGTTATGCCGAATTTTTTTCGAAAATGAATTATTTCAGAAAAATCACAATGTTAAGTTCATTGTAATCCAATTATTTTCTATTTAATGCATACTTGTTCTTGTCTTACTTTTAAAAATAAAACTATCATTGTTGTATTTAGATTTATAGTCAACTATTATTACATACATATTTATTAGTTGCTATTCTTATGTTTCGTGACTCTACTTTCTTGAGTAATATTTTAGAATATATCTATTTTCTTTTTACTTTTTAGAGCATATTTAGTTCTGACCTTGTTTTCTCGAAAACTCGCTATTTCGAATTTTTTAGCGTCCCTTCAACTTTGAGATATCGAAAGTATACTGTAGTTGCACGAAGATTTATTTTTCTATTTGATCTATTTTAATTCGATATAACATTATATAATTCAATTTTTTTCCTTTCTTGCCTATTGTTGCTTGCTATCGGTCTAATAGTCAAGCTAGAAAGATTTTGTACCCATCTATGTTCGGTTAATTTTTCCTTCTATTTAAATTAATCCACAATGCGCAAGCTTGGAGTAATTGTAGTCCAGTAGGATATATTGCAGAATGATCTAGTGAATCAACGCAGCAGTAAATCAAATAGAGCGATGTTCAAAATCTCTCTAATCGAAGTCGTTTTCGCCTTGATGTTTCTTAGGAGAGTTATGCCATTTAATTGTTCTTAAAAGATTTATGGGACTTATAAATAAATGTGATTTCATACAATATTGCAAACTGAGAAGTCAACACTATAGACTATCCTAACAATATTATATCCTGGCATTGCATTAATGTAGTTAAAATGTACTTTGAGTGATTCAATATTATTTCAAAATTGCGATTATGTTTTATTAATTTTAATCAAAATCTGATTTTAATATTCACATTTCAGTTCAGGAAAACAATTTTTATACCCACTGTTAAACAGTTGAAATTTTTTTTTTTTAATTTCCATTATGGATTCATTTTCAAGTTCACGCCATGTAGAATTCTTCTTAATTGCTACTGAACCTAGTGACTACAATGAAGACAAATATTTACAAACAAATTTTACTAATTAGCGACGTAGTTACATGCAGATAGAACTCAAATAATCCTTTTTTTTTCCTTTCAAAAGGCAACTCTCCAATACAATTCCGTAAAATCCGCTCAATAGTCCATAGCGCAGTATTGTTAAAAACGTTTTGGCAATAAAAAAGAGTTTGAATTCCAATCGTATATGCTCCGAGCAGCTCAGTTAAGACTGAACAATTTCGGTTTTACACAGAACTTGTTCTGCTTATTTATAACATAATCGGTTTTTCAAAAGCACCTCAGTTACTACAGGACAATCTCGTTTCTTTACAAATCTATCGTAGCGCAATGGCTACTGAACAATTTTGGTTCTGTATAGAGCAGGGATGGCGAACCAATGGCACGCGTGCACGAGGCACAATATTTTGGGTACGCCACCGAACACAATTTTTTGGGCACGCCACCGAACAATTGTTATTACACTATGAATTGTTATTACACAAATGTTATAACACTATGAAGCATATGTAACAATTAAATTGAAATTTACAAAAACAAACAAAATAGTAAACAGTTATTAATAAAAAAATTAACAATTAATGCTAAAAAAAACAATTAATAACCATAAAAAACAAGCTAAAATAAATAAGTAGCCAAAAAAAAACAGTCCTGCTTAAACTAACATCTTACAACTTAATATAAGTTATTTGTCATCTAATCTGCAACAACAGAAGTCACACTGATGTTACTTTAAGTTGTTTTAAGGCATGGCAAAATGTTTTTTTTTTTTTCAATGCAAATAGTTTTGAATTGTATATTTAGTATTATTATTTTCTCAATAATCGCAAAGTCAAAATTATTTGAAGGCACGTCTATGACCTCATTAAAAAAATTTTTAGAAAAATTGGCACGTTGGTGTATAAAGGTTCGCCACCCCTGGTATAGAGTATGCGCAGAACATGAACGTGCAGGATGTCGCATGAAATATCTATGTCTGTTAATCATTAGCTTTATTTTAAAAGTTTTAAAGAACACTTTCTACTCGATCCTGTTATTTTTTAATCACCCTGTACGTTTAAGTAGGTCATGTGTGTGTGTTTGTTTTCCACAGGGTCTCTATCCTGAATCTCATGGAGTTATCGATAACCAGATGTATGACCTTGCCATGAATAAACGCTTTAAAGTTGGTAAAACTAGGCTGGATGATCCAAGGTGGTGGCAGAAAGAACCTGTAAGTTCAATCACTCCAGATCAGTTTTTAACTCTTTATAGTATCGTCATATTTTATCTTACAACTGTCGTTGAACAGCCGACCCAATTTTTGGGGTTTACAACTACTAATATTCAACTCCTTAGCCTTGTAATTTTGATCCCAACCTAGAAAACAGGGAGCTCTCGAATCAAGAATTGGGAGAAATTTGCCTTTGGAGGACTTATTGATGAAACTTGACCCGCATTTGTATGGAAAGGAAAACCATGAAACGTTATATGGTTAGCTTAACGGAAAGGGGACTCTAACCCATGATCCGTGTACCACTAAGGATATTTTACGTCAGTACTGTGGTCGGTGCAAGCGGAATATGTCCCGCAGTGAACTGATCGTTAAGCCACGGTTCCCAGCAGATCACCGAAGTCAAGCATCACTGGCTCCGGTCAGTGTGCGGGTGGGTGACCACTTGGATCAGTCTGCGTAGGGACCGAGGGTGTGCGGTATTGGTCCTCGTTAAACTGTTCTACCGTAAAGTGCTCGACTTCGCTTCCAGGTCGTCGGGCTACCGAAGAGGGGATTCCATCCCCTCTGCAGAGGATCAAAATTGTGATAGTATTGTCTTCGGATCATCCTCAGGGATGTTTCCCAGACCATCGCCAATAGCCCATTGTGCAGCTCTAGTGCGACGTAAATTAACTACAACAACAGCAAGCCAAATGTAGAATTCGTATCAATCAGCCATCGCTTGAATTCGAACCCAGTTTACCTCATTGGAAGGCGAACACTTTATCTCCTGAACCATCAGGGCTCTTATAGTATTATCTGAAGATTTTACTTTGTTTCGAATGTCGCTTGAACAAGCAAAACTCTCCAGCTTTTTGCGATTTAAGTGAGTAAAGTGCTCAGTTCGTTTGGCAATCGAACACCGCAAGAGCGGAAGTATGTCTAAGCTCAAAACTTCAAGGATTAATGGCGGCACTCATTCGATAGGCATTTTTTCTCAGTTTAGACATGGATCTGAAGGGGAAGGAATTTTTCTCCAGATCCATGTACCCATGATATTGCTTGACCGACCACAGGACTTCCGATTCACAGCTTATATGAGCACGTATATCGCATGTACTCGGTGAGTTTTAGCGATGTCGAGGATGGAACCCCGACTCCTCTGAAGATTGCATTGTTTACAGTAAAAAATCATCCAAATTAATATCAACAGGGACTAACTCCAAACAGTTTAATGTCATCAAAGCTCTTGTTTGTTCATTTATTTTATTGTTTCTTTTCAATCCGGCTGTTTTCTCTTTCTTCTTTTTCCATAAAATATTACTATCGAGTGATTGATTTCATGGCCTTTGGGCTAACTGAGAAATATTCATTTCGAGGAATTTAGTTTCACTAAAAAATAAAAATTCCTATTAATATTCAATTTAGGAGTTGTTGTGCTTTCTAAGTTTAAGTTAAAATCGCAAACAGAAAACACTTCACACCAATTAAAATTTTTGCATATTTTAAGAAACTTTTAGGAAACGTCAACACGTTCAGCATGGATTTAGAGAAAATGTTTTTAGAAACCAATACAAATATATCACGCTGACGGTGGATTTTAAGTGTTTATCATTGTAGTGTAATACAATATAGAGCCACGCCATCCTATAGAATTTATGAGCTGAGGCAGTTATTTAAAATACATACTGTGTGAATTCGTACATATTTTGGGTACACATATGTTCGCATATGACCACGTGGTAGTTGTGACTGAAAGAGTTTAGTATCGTGGTGACAAAATTAAAATTCTGTATCCTATTGAACTTAAGAGTCGACCAGTTTGTGTGCTGGTCAGAGAGCTGCCCTCGTCTCAGAACGGTCCCGAGTTTGAATCACGTTTCGGCTATGGATGTAATTTCTCTCTCTGGTTTATCTGTTCTTCTCATGTTGATAGGGTGACGGTGATCCACTTATATTGAGCTCACGAATCTACACGTATCAACAATACCACCCTTCAAAAACCACTATTGTATACGTGGCCTAAAGTGGTGGCATTGGTTGAAAAGAAAGATCCTCGAACTAATTCAAAATTGTTGGACCCTGCCTAATGATGCAAAGTTTTTCCAATCCAAAAAATGGAGGGAATTATAGCTGAGACGATGCTTTAAAGCTGTGTACTTGCTGTTCTATCCGTCCTTCTTATGTTGATAGTTTAAGTTGATCCATCTATATGGTGCTCATGAAAGAGAGATCAACAGCACCGCCCGTTTAGTGCTACAATTGCATTCGTTGTCAAAAATGGAGGCAATGGAAATGAAAAAAATACACTGAAACATACCATAATATTTTAATGCAAGTTTGGCAACATTTAATGATCATGTTTCGTTGTTTACTAATGGACATTATTTTTAGGATGATGATTTTTTGTGATAACGGACATAATTTTTATGTTAATTTCAACGTTATTTTAATGATATTGAAGTGAATGTAGTGAAGTTTGAAAGTAATGAAATTTCCTTATTTTCAAAGACAACATTTTGTTGCCTTCCTGTGTGAGAGTCACAACTAAAATTTTGAATTGTTTTTTATAATGCAAAATTATTTTTTGTAATGCTTTGCAGATATGGGTAACGGCACAAAAACAGGGGAAGAGTGCCGCCTGCTTCTTTTGGCCCGGATCTGACGTTCGTATAAACGGATCGTACCCGAATTTTTATTTCAATTACAACGGGTAAGTAAGAATGCATATTTGGCTTACTTATGTATTTCTTGGTGCATTTATTAGCAGTTTTTCATAGTTGAAATCGAATTACTTGTATGATGATCAAGCGGGGGAGAGACAATTTATGTCCATGGAATCTTATTCTGAGAAAAATCGAATTTTCAGGCTTGAAAATTTACAGTAGCAAGCTTTTAATTGAAATCGTAAAAATAAAAATAACCACGGATACCCCAAGTGCTTATTTACATTCCTTAAACATTTTTAAACAAAATTTAAAATTTTTGATCTAAGAAAAAAAAGGTTAAAATCGGGTTGGACAAGAACTGCTTTTTTCCCTCAAAATTTCTCCCTAATCATTACTTCCTCACTGCCGACTAGATGGCTGAGCGGTCAGCGTGCCTGACTGTGAAGCCATTGGTTACGGGTTCGAATACCGCTCAAGCCATGGGTGTTTCTCTCTGTGTGTTGCTGTGTAATGTGTGAATGTGGCCCACCCTATAAACGGGTAACTGTGGCAGTGTGGCGTGGGTAATGTTGCTCGCTTCCGTGACATATGAGTTCACAGGTGCCCACCGGGTAACGTTAAATGAGCAACACTTCCGGCATCTTTTGAGTTGAAGAACGAAAGTTCAGTGCCTACCGTAGAAGGAAAAGAAAAACTTCCTCGCTAATAATTCCCGCGCCTTCTTCGCTATAACTTTCTATGTTTTTATTATCTACGCGTGGACTGGAACCTTTTTTTTACCAGCACGGTCTATCTTCACAGTGTATTAACTCTCCACGTTATTCGTCAAAATTTAGTAATCCTCAAAATGCAACAAAAGGTGATTCAATCGTCTTTTTGGGAAAAATGGCCCTTTAACCGTTTCTTCCCCTTGATCCCTCTCGATCTTTATATGCATTAAGAGCACCAAGCACATCTTAACAGTACAAATTGTGAAAAATCTAGTTTCAACTCAAGCATTTGCGAACTCTTAACTAAATGACTTAATTCACAATTTTTTGCATGCATATTTGTTAGCACAAACGGAAAAAAATACAAAACATTGGGACAAAAACATAAAACATTGACAAAACATATTTTGTAAGACCGTTGAAAGTAAATCGTGCTTGAATAATCTTTTTAGAAAGTGCCTCATGTATCGGTATACTTTGAGACAATTATTTTGAAGTTTCTTATTTTTATTTAAATTATTTAATGTAATTTTTTTTTAAAAAATAGACCTAATTTTTAGTAAAAAAAATTGAAGAATATTTCAGCATATGGTAATTTAGAATAAATGGATTTTGATATTTCTATTTAAATTATTTTGCATTATAATGGAAGCAATAACTAAAGTAAAAAAAACACTATCAAAGCGTTGAAACTCATACATATTCTAAGGAAAGACCCATTTAGGAAGAGACACATTGTGGCAAATCTGTTTGAAGCTTCTTCATTTATTTAAAGTTAATTTGAATGTAAATTATATTTTTTTTAATTAAAACTAGATTTTTAGAAGAAAAAAATTTATCCTATTTTTGAATATGAGGATTCACAATGTACCATTGTAAGTAATATTAGAAATTACTGCTAATACTAGAAATTATATTAAAAAAATTCAATCACTGATATTCGGTCTTCAGCCTTAAGACAACATACATCTAACTTGTAGTATTCTATTGTTCCAGGAGTATTCCATTTGAAACAAGGGTGGATCAGATTCTGGAATGGCTGATGCTGCCCAAAAGACCAGATTTTCTCACACTCTATTTTGATCAGCCAGACAAAGCTGGTCATGCTCACGGTCCAGACTCATTCGAAGTAAATAATGCATTTTTTAAAACACTTCTTAAGTTTTATATCATGTACGAGAGTTAGTTTAATTTAGTAGCAACATTCGTGAAATTTCTATCGTGTAGGTTAGTGTAATAAGTGTGCAGACCGGACTTTGTAGGGGTCAGGAAACTGGCCTTTCATCAGAAAGGTTCTAGATTCGAATCCAGGACAAGGCATGAATATTCTTTCATTCTCTGTACTATCTGTCTTTACTGTGGGAGCAACGTTGGCCCATCTAGTATGGTGCCTCTGATAGAGTGGCTAACAAATATGCTCTCTAAATGCCTGAATTGACGATATGTTAACACAAGTGGGCATTTGAAATAAATAAAAAAGTTAATAAGTGTAGGACAAGCAAAGATCTTAATTATGTTAAGTAAAATTTAGTTGAAAGTTTTCTATAATGTAGAAGTTAGGAACAAGTGAACGTCTTAGTATAAATATGTTAGGTATAATTTTGTTGTAAATTTTCTATCATGTAAGTAAATTGATTAGGTGGTTAAATGTTAAGGGTAAACATAAATATGTTAAGTAAAATTTAGCTGTAAGTTTTATATTTTGCAGGGGAGTTGTTACATAAGTCCATGATAAGTGAAGCACGCTTGGTTATGTTGCGCAACATGTTAATGAATTCCACAGAAGATTTTTCAAACATATGTTAACAGTAGGAAACTGTTTAAGTGTGCTTTATGGCAGGGCAGTAAAGTAGGAAGTAATGTACTAAGAGGTGTTCCTAAATTTAAAAATGTTTATTGCTTGACATGTTTTCTCTTGCTGATTTTGCAAAGGATGTCTCCTGCCAAAGCATTGTCAAGTAATAAAATACAAGTCAAAATGATATTTATTCGCCAACGAAAAATCTGTAATACATTCTACAAAAATTGATAGTTATATTTTTTTCTCTTGAGACAGTAGCTGTAAACATAGAAAATATTCTGTTATAATGATACTAGTTTTAATGTACCCGATCGCAATGTTTGAAATAACACAAGTTCGGAAATAGTGTTGCTTAGAAGTACATACTGACACCCGGGGTTGCAGAGTGGTAGCACTTTTATGCCACAGGTCCTGGGTTCCATCCTCAGGTCAGACAAGCTTTCCTCCCTTCGATAAAATGAGTACCAAACATGCTTGAGGACTGAGCAATAGGAGTTCCGGATGACCAACCAACCGGAACATCTGCTCCTGCAATCCAGATCCCAAGGTCAAGAAAACTGAGATGGACACAGTAGGCCTTGGCCCTCTGTGGGGTGTCGTGCCTCTGAGTTTAGTTTAGAAATATGTACTGAATGTCAAAAAGTGATAGATCGAAATCTATTACAAAAACAGAAAAAGAGATAGAAAAGTACAGTTTGTCACGTTCTGCTTAGATAATGTTTCATGTTCATATCATTTAGATGAACTTTCCATTAAAAAATATTGCTTGATCCAAGGTTGTAAATTACTCAATATTTTTTAATGGCTTATAATTTTTGTGTGGATATATATGCTTTATATTATTTATTTCAGAACACATATATCAGTATGATGTAACTAAACTGATCCTTGATAATGAAAGGATAAATTTTACACAGTCATTGTTAAGAGTAGAATGTGCAAAAAGCGAGATTTATTGAAGGTTATTGTTTTCAAAATTGTGATGTCAGAAATCTTGGAAAATTAGTTTTCTTTGTTATTTGCAGTCGTTTTTTTATTTCGAAATTGTTGTTTTTCTTATCCTTTTTTGTGCGTTTACACGGCGGAGTAATAATCATTATCATGCTTCACATAACCATTTTACTGCAAAAAAAGACTCTTTCCGCAAATATAGAATTATCTTTATAAATGATATTTGAAAATATTACGAGAATGAGCCTATTTTAAAAACGTAGTTCACAGTTTTTTAAACAGGATTTGTTTTAACACTGAAATTGCGTAAAGAAAAACAAATTATGTTTTGATTAAAAATTAAATAAATAAATTAACAAATAAGAATAAATAGATGAGAAAAGGAATGAAAAATCTTTGTGATTCTTAAATGTAAATTTTAGACTCGCCGAGTATAAAACGCTTTGATGAAGTAATTACGACGAAGGAGATAAATTTAGAGAGTTCTATAACTACCAATCCTTTGTACATTTTCAGAAAAAAAAAACATTTCGAAAATTTAAAAAAAAAATTTAGCAGCATAAGTGTTCTCAAAATAACATTCAAGCGAGGAAGAAACAAAAACATTTTTGAAATTTTTTGAATTGCTAGTAAGAAAGAATGGATGAAAATCATCAAAACCATTGCCTGTTAAAACTTAAAAATTAAAATTATTAACTTGGCTCTTGTTGATTGCCCGTTAGAAATTGGAAATCAAAATTATTAACTTGGCTATTGTTGATTGTTTGTTGAAACTTAGAAATTAAAAGTATTAACTTGGCTATCGTTGATTGCCTCATGTAACTTGGAAATTAAATTTATCAACTTTGTTATTGTTAATTACCTATTGGAACTTGAAAATAAGAATTATTCATTTGACTAGTGTTGATTACTTATTGGAACTTGGAAATCGAAATATTTAACTTGGCAATATTTACTACCTACTGGAACTTGGAAATCAAAATTATTAACTTGGCTATTGTTGATTGTCTGTTGGAACTTGGAGCTGTTTCTATTAATCGGCCTTAAACTTCATCTTTCTTTCAGCCATTAATCAAAGATATTTTGGTATTTTCAATCTTACCTTTCTCTGTAGTGGTTCGTTAGATAGCGTTTTTATTTTTCTTTCGCTTGAATACTGATTTGTGGCCTGATTTGATTTCTCTCTGACAAGGATTCTAACAACATATATGAAAGGCGATTGGTGCGGCTATATGCTAATTGAGTTCTGAAGCTGAACAAATCATATCTTAGTAAAAGTTGTTCATCGAAGAAAACTTGCTAATGTAACAGTAAAATATTAATTTTAAAAGAATACTGAAAAGTGAAATAAAAAGCTTGAAATGTTTTCACATTTTGTGCAAGATTCATTCCTGTTGAATTCTTCATGGAACTTTTTTTTATAGTTGTTTGAAGTCAGAAGGAGTTAAGTATCATCCTCTAATGTTACTATACTAATCCATTTTAAAATAGTGTTAGGTAAGAACAATTGATCGAGTTCTAAAAAACTTTTCTTTTTGAACAGGTTAAAGAAGGTATCAAGACTGTGGATGGACTGATGAATAGGTTACTTACAGGATTGGAAATAAGAAACCTCACAAACTGTGTAAATATTATTATTGTGTCAGATCATGGTTAGTTTTCACTTATTCATTCCTAAAATGAAATGTTTTTAACACTATTTATAAATTTTTAAAGCTAAAACTAAGTGCATAAAGTTTGCATGGTACTTCGTAAAAATTTCGCAAGCGGACCCCCGCAATGCCATTTTCTATTTTGACAGAAATTGGTGCACAACTATCTATACACTTGAACTTAGGTTTTGGAAAGTTTTAAACTCAGAAACAAAAATCTGAAGTAGCTAGGAGGGGGGGGGGTGCTAAATGTGTGAATTATAAGCTTATTGTGAGAAGTGATGAAGCCTAACTTGCATAACTTTGTACCATGAAAAGATTCTTTCCAGAAAATAGTATGTATTAGTATTAAGGTGAAAGTACACCTTAACAGTAATGTTATAGAAAGAAAATTTAAAGTATTTAACATTTATGTTATTAATAAAGTATGTCTTGAAAGTAATAATGTAATATAATAAATTGTAACATTTACAGTAAAATTGCACTATTTTTAGTCACATTTTTTAAAAGCTTCGTAGCTTAGTCTTTTCGCCCCCATCGGGACATATATATTCCGTGGACGAACACACTGAGATATATGTGTCTCATCTGAAAAACCTTGTGGGACATATATGAAACAGTCCCCAAATTGTCCAAATAGTTGATTTTTTTAAAAATTTTATTTTGGCAGAATATTGTTATTTTTACCTTGTTTGATCTACGTATTAATGTTCGATTTTGTCTCTTTATTGGAAAAGAAAAAAGCTGATCGTGGAAAGGTTAAGCTAAAAATTATATTAAAAAATTATCTTATTTCTAAATTGTTAAGATAGAGTTGAACAGTTTCTAAAGAAGCTGTTTAATGTTAAGGTGAGAGCAAATCCCTAAAATTCAATTGCAATTTCAGTTGTGATTTATATTTCTCAGCTGTAATTGATCAATCACGCAGTGAACACTATAAGTTTGGAACAATTTAATTTTTTACTTTTAATCGTACACAATAAATTGAAATAATTTTGTGTTTAGACGATATTTACAGTTTTGAAATCATTAATTCAATGTTATTTACAGTATCTTATAAATATTATTTTATCAGCATTAATTTACTTATCTGTTTAATTTATCTTTTTAATATTATTGAACTCATTAACTCTAATATATTTAACTTATCATTTTGGTAACATTAAACTCATTCTTTCAACATTATCCAACTCATTTTTCAATATTTTTCAACTCATTCTTTCTATATTTTCTTGCTAACGTAAATCATTATTATCCATCTTATTATTTTAATATTATTTAGCTTAACACATCATTTCAGTACCATTCGTGTCATCATACATCGTGTTAGTAATAATTAACTAAATTCATCATATCAGTAATAATTAACTCTAATCTCGTAATTTTTCAACTTATCCTTTCAGTATTATTTTAAATAACTCATCTTTTCATTACCCTTTAATTCATTTTTTTAGTGTTATTTTCCTTCTATCATCATTTTAGTACAATTGAAGTTATTTCAGTTAGAAAAACATACATAATCTGTTTGTCAATTTTGTTAAGAAAAGGTTCAATAAAACCCGTGTTGACTCAAGGAATAGAGCTTTCGCCTTCCAATGAGGTGAACTGAGTTCGAATCCCAGCTATGGTTGGTTGTTACGAATTCTGCACACCGTTCACACACAGTGACCACAGTGCTGACGTAAAATATCCTCAGTGGTAGACGGATCATGGGTTAGTCTTCTTCTTTATAGAATAGTATNATCACGCAGTGAACACTATAAGTTTGGAACAATTTAATTTTTTACTTTTAATCGTACACAATAAATTGAAATAATTTTGTGTTTAGACGATATTTACAGTTTTGAAATCATTAATTCAATGTTATATACAGTATCTTATAAATATTATTTTATCAGCATTAATTTACTTATCTGTTTAATTTATCTTTTAAATATTGAGCTCATTAACTCTAATATATTTAACTTATCATTTTGGTAATATTAAACTCATTCTTTCAACATTATCCAACTCATTCTTTCAACATTATCCAACTCATTTTTCAATATTTTTCAACTCATTCTTTCTATATTTTCTTGCTAACGTAAATCATTATTATCCATCTTATTATTTTAATATTATTTAGCTTAACACATCATTTCAGTACTATTCAAATTAAATCATCGTGTTAGTAATAATTAACTAAATTCATCATATCAGTAATAATTAACTCTAATCTTGTAATTTTTCAACTTATCCTTTCAGTATTATTTTAAATAACTCATCTTTTCATTACTCTTTAATTCATTTTTTAGTGTTATTTTCCTTCTATAATCATTTTAGTACAATTGAAGTTATTTCAGTTGGAAAAACATACATCATCTGTTTGTCAATTTTGTTAAGAAAAGGTTCAATAAGACCCGTGTTGACTCAAGGGATAGAGCTTTCGCCTTCCAATGAGGTGAACTGAGTTCGAATCCCAGCTATGGCTGGTTGTTACGAATTCTTCACACGGCTCACACACAGTGACCACAGTGCTGACGTAAAATATCCTCAGTGGTAGACGGATCATGGGTTAGAGTCCCCTTGTCGTCAGGCTGAGAGTGGGAGGTTTTCAGGGTTTTCCTCTCCACGTCTCGCAAGTGCGGGTTAGTTCCCTCAAAGTGACCTCCACGAAGTCAAATTTCTCCAAACACTTGATCCAGGAGTTCCCTTGTCTTCTGGATTGGGCTCAAAATTACAAAACTACGGAGTTGAACATTAATAGTCGTAAACTCAAAATTAGGTAGGCTGCTCAACGACGGTTATAAAATAAATTAAAAGGATGTAACAAGAATGTAATCAAAAAGCTTTTATTTTATGTTTTTCCAGGTATGTCGGACACAAGCTGTGATCGAATTTTTGATATCAGAAAGTACATAAACATTTCAACTGCTGACGTATACACTGGCTCTTTTGGCAGAATAAGGCCTAAGGAAGATTCGAGTAAGTATACTGATTGTTGTTATTTTAGACAGGAAGTGAACTGTACAGACAGCAGTATAGCAAACATAAATAGCTTTAGATTTGGAGCAGTGAAGGTTTATAATTTTACTAAATTAACAGTTAGTACAAATAAATAAAAATTTTGAAAACCCGAAAAACCGTTTTGAAAAACCGTACTGTTGGAATTTTCATTCTGAGAATATGGTAAAATAACTGGCAGCAGTCTGCCCATTCATTTGACAATAAAGTTTATGGTAAAAAACATTTTTTTTAACTTTTGCGCTTTTGAAACCGTTTTCAACTATTAAACCATGAATACAAAACGATTCGGTTTTTTAACCATTTACAACTAGCTTAGTTTCAAAACCATAAAAAATAAATTTAAATAGACATTGGAGCTAGGGTTTTCTCCAGATAATGAGCATTGGAGTGTACAGCACACACACATTGGGAAGATCAGCACATTGGAAACTCTTGAGTTAAAGGTTCAGTTTGAGTTCCTTTAACTCTATGAGTTAAGGGAAGGAAAAAAATATTGTAGTGTCAGCCCTGGGACTCGAACTCCTGTTCTGTCGGTCATGAAAGTGACAGATTAGCCCTCTCGGCTATAATAGGTAAGCAGCTGCAAGGAACTTAAGTGGCTTCATTAGGTGGATTTAGTTGATGAGATAAAATTCTGGTTGTTTAACTGTATTGGTCGAAAGAGTTAAAAAACTGTTTTTCTCACAGTTAATAGTTTGAATACTATCTTATTTATGGTTATTGGACTGTTTCGGTTGAATATGGTAAAATAACAATTAGATAAATTATTATTTAACCATTTTTTCCGAGAAATTTTCAACAGTGTATAAGTGACCAAAAAAATAAATAAATATTTATCCTACCAGTCACCATTAAGGAATTAATTTATTCTTTATCAAACTTTCCAATTCTCTTAAATTAAGTAAAAAAGTTTTCTTTTTTATATCTGTCAAATAGAATTATTAAAAAATACTCTTGGGCAAATAGGACAAAAAAGTTATAACAGTCACGGTGACCATAATCATATTTTTTAAAAAATAATTAAATTATATATTCCATAATTTTTCTAGACACGGTGGATGAAATTATATCTCAGTTACAGTGCCAAGATAGCCACTTGAGAGTTTATCGAAAAGAAGAGTTGCCGGTTAGAATGCACTACGTAGATAATGCTATATGCTAATTGAGTTCTGAAGCTGNAAATTATTCATCATTTCACATTAGTCGTAATTACTGCCCAGAAGCAATAATTTACATTGATTCATATTAGCTTGATGCATTATTTCACATTAGTCTCAAAAGTTGCTTCGATTAACTCCACTTTCACATTAATCGCAAACACTATTTCATAAAATTCTGTTACACTATAAGCATAATAGCAAACACAGTCTCATATTAACCCCATATATTACTTCACAATAATCACAAACATTGCTTCTAACTCCATTAATTATTTCATATTATTAGAAAACACTGTTTTATATAAATCTCATACACTAGTAGCATAGTAGCAAACACAGTTTCTTATTAACCCCATACATCATTTCTCAATAATCACAAACTCAGTTTCATATTAACCCCATACATTATTTCACAATAATCGCAAACATCGCTTCTATTAACTCCATACATTATTTCTCATTAATCGCAAGCATTGTTTTATATTAATCTCATACACTAGTAGCACACACAGTTTCATATGTTTCCCATACATTATTACACTTTAATCGCAAGCACTTTTTTATATTAATTTCTTACACTAGCAGCAAACACGGTTTCATGTTAGCCCCATACATCATTTCACAATAATCGCAAACACTGCTTCTATTAACCCCATACATTATTTCACAATAATCGCAAACACTGCTTCTATTAACCCCATACATTATTTCACAATAATCGCAAACACTGCTTCTATTAACCCCATACATTATTTCACAATAATCGCAAACACTGCTTCTATTAACCCCATACATTATTTCACAATAATCGCAAACATCGCTTCTATTAACTCCATACATTATTTCACATTAATCGCAAGCATTGTTTTATATTAATCTCATACACTAGTAGCAAACACGGTTTCATATTAGCCCCATACATCATTTCACAATAATCGCAAACACTGCTTCTATTAACCCCATACATTATTTCACAATAATCGCAAACACTGCTTCTATTAACCCCATAAATTATTTCGAATTTTTCTGAATACAGTTCAGCTTTATTTGATAAGTTGAACTTATAAAAATATGCTTTTCTTAACATGATAACATTAAGTTAATCGGAAGGGTAACGCATAATAACAAAAAATATTGTAATTATCTTAGCATTTTTATTTGCGGTGGTATGTGTCTATCAGTTTCGTGCATGATTGCGTATCGTTTAATAAATATTCATTTACTGATTACACTGGAGAAATTTTTTGTTGTATTTATGTAAGATCTTACATAATTCGGGAAAAAAATTTCAAATCTAAATCTAGTTTTGCCCCTAAAATTACAGATTTTGTTTAAAAATGGCATTTCTATTCTATATTTTGTTGAAATGCTTAAGTTAAAAACGTTACAAATAACAGGGGATCGCGTAAATGTTGCAACAAACTTAAAGGGGAGTTAAAGCACATCATTAGGCTTAAAATTGCATAAGAACCCATACTTGAAACATTGGCAACATTTATGTGAACCTCCGTTATATACAATACTTGTACGCCTGTTTTTTTTTTCTTTTTTTCTTTTTGGATTAAAAAAAATAGACTAAAAATGTCATTTAAAGAAACTGTAGCTTGGTGAATGAAACCGATTGAAGATTTGATATCAACGATACGAAAGTATCCAAGATATATTAAAAACAATCTCATGCAGCAAAAAAAAAAAAAAANAAAAATAAAATAAAAAAAAAAAAAAAAAAAAAAACTCCAGAGTTGTCTATTATTATTTTTTTTCTTCATTTTATCTCGTACGCAGAACGATTTAACTGAGCGGGCTTAATTAATCATTTCTTCAAAAAAAAAATTTAATTTAGTATATTTAACAGTTTAAAGAAGGATTATATTATCATTAGAAGAGAGTTTCGGTATGATTGAACAATTGATATGATTGAAGATTTTGTCGGATGTATATGAAAAAAGCAGTATTTTTGTTGATACAGTTGCTACGAGTATAGTCTTAAAACTATTCCAGTTCATTATAAACTTTGAGAAAAAGAGAAATCAGTTTTAGAACGCGTGGCATGCAGCTGTTAAATTTGCAATCATTTGCTGAAGTGGCAGCTGCTGTGTTAAATAAGAGCAATTGTTTAATAGCTTTACAATATTATATAATAAAAATGATACTAAGCTATCGTAAATTTGATGTAATAACTCCTTACTAAAATTTCTATCATCATTTCTAATCGAATTTTATTTATTATTTATTTTAAATTTCTAAGATAATAATTTAACACTTAATAAAAATTTGTACAATTTGTTTTGATAGTTATAAAACATTTTAAAGTGTGTAATCCCGATTATAATCAGGATTATGATGTCTTGTATATTATGATTTCTTGGACATAAATTTGTAATTATAACAATGATTACTGCTGATCTTTATTCCTTGGTATTATGGTAGCAAATGTTTAGTTACGCTGTTTAAAAGCTCCAAACGTTTTTTAAGTAAATATTATTATAAAAGATAATCTTAACGGTTAGAAATACAGACATAAAATTATTGAGGATGGTATCAAAATCAAAAATTATTGAGGGTGCTCCGTGTTTTTTAATTTTGCTCGCTGGTCATTCCAGGACTCACTGGTCATTCCAGGAAAAATTAAAAAAAAAAGATTAAAATATAAAGATGTTGATGTCTGTTTCGATTTCGAAGAGGTCAAAATTATCAAGACACTTATGATTTCTATTCATTTCTATTCAGACTATTATGATTTCTATATATATTTATTCAGTTCACTATAACGAACCCCGTTATAGTGAACTGTCTGAGGACCTACCAGTAAGTTCACTATAAACGGTAGTTCACTACCTCCAGATACTCGTACTTTGAGAAAATTAATTTTAGGCATATTACAATGGCATTGTAGGAGCCGTGGTGGTACAGGGGACAGAACCAGGTTTGAATCCCAGGGATGACTGGTCGACAAGAATTCCGCACCCGGCTTGCACCAACCACAGTGCTGACGTAAGATATCCTCAACGATAGACTGATCATGGGTCAGAGTCCCCTTGTCACCAGACTAACCGTAGGAGGTTTTCGCGGTTTTCTTCTCCGCGTAACACAAATGCGAGTTAGTTCCATGAAAAAGTCCTCCATGAAGGCAAATTTCTCCTAATACTTTATCCAGGAGTTTACTTGTCTATTGTATTGTGTTCAAAATTACACGGCTACGGAGTTGAACATTAATAGGCGTAAATCAAAAAATTGGGTCGGCTGTTCAACGACGGTTAAGATATAAAATAGTATTATAGGAAATAGTAAAATTGGAAGTATGGAATTTGTTTATAAACTATTAACTGATTAAATAGATAAGAAATCAAATATTGAAAATGAAAATAATAAATTTCGATCTTTATCGGACGAAATTAGTGATTTTCGATTGATTACAAAGCAGAATTCACCAATATTCGTATCAGCAACGAGTAAAGAATTTTCCAGTCTGCATTTTCTGCAATTTTTTTTTAGATATAAATTACCGGATTCTTTTTCAACATACAGAGGCAGAGTCCAAAGAGCTATGTGCTGCTCCACAACTTGCTCGCCGTAGTTTAAAAATCGAAGAATATGCAAGAGTAGGATTTGACACAAAGTCGAGAAATCACGTCATTTGTAGGGCAACTCTTGCGAATTTAAACTTAGAGAAATGGAAAAAAAAATTATAATCTCGGAGAAAATAAAATTAAAGTACACTATAATAAAATAAAATGAGAGTAACTCGAAGCAAATGAGTGTTCACTATATCCGATAGGATGGTTCATTATAGCGGGATTAGACGTTTCTTTACTCTTTTAAAGAATAAATTATTCTATTGAATTGTTTTTTACCCATTTAAACACTTGATTCTCAGTGTATAACAAAGTTAAACTTGCATTGTGGAAAAACAATCAGGTTAAATAGCAATAAATTTCGATGATGTTTCCTTTTTATATGTTCACATAATTTAATAACTGCAGCAGGCTGATTTTTTTCTAAGTTGGTACATAAAGGTGTGTTATCAAAGTTTTCTTTCTAGCCAGGATGTTAAGCAAGGCGATTGGAAGTGTAATGGTGGTAACCATGGATACGATAACATTTCTCCAGATATGAAGGTAAGTATGTGTTCTCTAATACTATTGGACAGATATTCCAAGGAAAAAAAAACGGATGATTTAAAAAAACAAATGAAATATACGGTTTTCTACTTTTTTAGAAGCTATGAATTTATTCTCCCCATGTTTCAAAAATTAGTTACAGTATTTGTCAACAGATGGCGGTGGTGATATGTTTTTTGCAGCATGTCAGATCATTTCATCAAAAATATTTGAAGAAACATCATTTTGTTTTCAGACTGCACAACGTTGTTGTTGCAAATGGTGGCTATTTTGAAAACATTGTCTATAGTTTATTTTACAGTATACTGAGTTAACTGTTGACGAACTTAGTAACTAATTTTGAAAATGGGTAAGATTAATTTCTTTGCCCTTATTTCCAATACAGAACGCAGCAGGCCATATGTTTCTATCTCTTTCCGTTTTTCATTCATTCATTTTGAAATCTTCAATCAATGATTATTTTAGAATTCGTTTCAGATTAAAGTCGTTGGCGATTACATTTTAAGAATCTCAAACATCAATTTACTTGTTTCTAAAGTGCAGTAAATATCCATTCTCATTTTATTTGTAAAATTAAATAGCGATAATGAAGAACATATTTAACATTTTCCCTCGTCACTACCCTCCTCTGACGGGTGAGATAGTGAGAAGATTCGTCGTTTTATTTAATTTTATAACCAGCGTTTAACTGCCGACACGATTCTGAGTTAATGACTATCAGTGTTCAATTCCATAGCTTTGTAATTTTGAACCCAATCCAGAAGATAAGGGAACTCCTAGATACAGTAGTAGGACAAACAAGCATTCATGTCAGACTTTTTGAGGGAACTAACCAGCATCTGCGTTACATGGAGAGGAAAACCATGGAAACCTTCCATGATTAGCCCGGCGACACTGGGATTCTAACCCATGATCCGTCTACCACAAAGGATATTTTAAGTCGGGACTTGGATCGGTTCACACCTGAAGCAGAATTCGTATCAACCAGTCACTACTGAGATTCGAACCGGGTCACCACATGTCGAGATGAACGCTCTGTCCCCTGATCTATTGTTTATAATTAATTATCAGTATTATTTTCATATAAATTTGTTTCATACATGTTTTCTGTTGCTTATAGGCCATTTTTTTCGCCTATGGACCATCATTTAAGAAAAATATAACCGCAAGACCTTTTCTAAATATAGAGTTATACGAATTGATGAGTGGTACGTTTTGGTAAATATTTCTTTCCCTTATTTTTTTCTTTTTTCTTTATTTTTGGTAAATATTTCTTTTTTCTATTTGCTTAAAAATAATGATACAAGATTCTCCTTTCTTGTTTAGAGAATAATTCTTATTTCTGTAATTAGGTATAATATTGTGCATTTTTATTGATTGCGCTTCATAAATTTGCACTTATTACTGTTTCAATTTGCTTTTAACAATTTTTTAACAATTTATTTTGCTTTTAACAATTTACCTAAGAATTGGTTGAAATTTCTACTCAATTGAAGCGTCATTGGTGGAAAAGACTGTTCAACGTCAGTCACTAGAACCTGTTAGCAACATAAATTCGGTAGAATTAAACACCATATCATATGACACTGAAACGAAGAAAAAATCTCCGTAGTACATTTCGAGCTTTAAATACTTATCTTTATGCTATTATAATTTTAGATTCAACTCTGAAGACAAGGATAGTTAATAGTATACTGGAATCATCGTGTTTTCATAAAGGCTTAGTATTCTCAAACCGAGAGTAAAACTGTAATTCTCATTAAATTAATTCTACGGCTAATGGAGTGAATTTTTTACAATGACTTTTTTTCTTTAATTCAGAAAGAGTACGAGTATCTGATTAACGTAATAGGAATAATAATTGTTTCCATTCAAAATCCCTTTTTTTGTGCAAATTAGAATATTTTTGCTGTTATTGTTTCATTTTAACGCATTTAAATCTCTAAAACTAGTATATTATATTTGAAAAAAAGTATAAATTCTATTGAAAAAAACATAAGTTCTATTAAAGACTAAAAAATATTCAATATTTGGTATTACTAACCGGTATTTAAAGCTATACTGTTTAGCGTAGTACTCGAAAAGCATGTTAAATAGGTACAAGTTTACATTTTTGAAATTTGGTTCACATCCTGTATCTTGACCTACAATTCCTTCAAAATAATGTACAGTGTACAAAAAAACTGATCTACCTTGGATAACTTTTGATCTAATGAACGGATTTTCACGGTGCTAGGACTCAATCTCAATGGTTCGGGGGAGTGACTTCAAATATGCTAATTAATAAGAGCTGACGATATTTTAAGTTACACAATCAGACACAAAAACGTACTTTTTCTGAATAAACATGCTTTTTTTTTACTACGAGAACTGTCTAAAGTTTGGACCCCTTTATAATAAACTTAATGTTTGCAACTTCGCTATATATAGAGAAATTTTCATGCGAATTCAAAAACTTGAACACAATTATAAAATTCGTTTATCCTCTGATAATTCAACGCTAAGAAATTATTTTTTATAATTATTTATCATATTTTATTATTTCATTTAATTACAGTAGAAAAAATTTTGAATAACGAAGTACACGCTTTTTTAAATAATTTTAAAGAGTGTACTTTTAAACAGCAAAGTACAAAATTTGAGCAAAATCGGTTGAATATAGTTCCTAAGAAATCAAATTTTAAATATACGACAGCTCAAAATACGACACATTTTAAATATACGACCATTTATTAAATTAAAAGTTATTCAGAATGGTTCGATTTTTTTGTGCACCGTAGAATACAAATAAAATCAATGATTATCTGAACTAAAAAAAAATATATTGCTTAAAGAAAAAATTTATTAACTAATTAGGTTATTTCCATTAGAACAGAAATTATTCTGTTTATGGATACTGTTGCTGCAGCTACTTTTACTTTAATACAAAAATGAATGAAACGTAAAGTAATTTTGTGCTTTCACGCGAGCAAAAAACAAACACAGCATGAAAAATTATTGCAGCATTTCATTAACGAGGAAATAGAAACATCTATTATTCCGTATTCAAGGAAATGTCAAGCTAAAAGGTCAAAGGCGTGAACAAACACTACTCAATGAAAGAGCAGATTTTTATAAGTGAGCTGTTTGTGCGACGATCATTATGGGCGAAATTTAGATAACGGACCCTTCGTAAATTATTTTATGATAAAAATGGACTTTTTAAAAATATTTTTTCTTAAATAATAACAGCACCAACACACAGCCCTGTACTTGATCCTTCCGGATCCAAATAATTAACAGATGTGGCCGGGCACCTTATTTGAAAGGTCTGAATCTATTGAAGTTTTGTTTTTACTTATAGTTAGTCTTAAAGGATAGAAAGGGAAAGGCCTTTGTTATCAATATTTCTCATAGGTGGCACTTTGCCCAATGTCTTATATTAATTAGTTATTAACTTAAATTTGATTCAGCTTTCTTTCATATTGGAGGCCACTAGTCCATGATATATATAGATATAACATAAAAAGCTTCATTTAAATCTTTTGATGTTATTTCTTTTCTGTAAATCCTTTTCTTTTATTTTATTATTCTAATCGAAAAACTTTCTCACACTTTTANACGTTATATATATATATATATATATATATATATATTATCTGTTTTCAATTTTTGTGATTAACCTGGTGGTTGTTAAGTAGCTGATTGTTTTTAGTTTAATTTTTAAATGTTCAAATTAATCCATAATAAAAATAGATTCACTCATCTTTGATGGCTCGAAAATGTCGAAAAGGTATACAGTGCCCTCTAAAAAAAGCTAGAAAGTTTGATAACTTTTTAGCTAATGATCAAGTTTTCATGCACTCGTGATCTTCACCTTTATTATGCTAATCAATTTGTGCGGACGATCTCTTACGTTACAAAAAATCAGACATAAAAACGTACTTTCTCTATATAAATATGCCTTTTTCGATGGTATGATCCTCGAAATAAGTTGGAAGCAGTCTCAATCTGGAAAATATGGTCCCAATAGCTTTAGACAAAAGAGCGAATAAAAGTTTGATCCCTTTAATGTTTCTTTCACTTTTCTCTTACTTTCAAACTTTAATTTCTTAAGAACTGATCTACTGAATCCCTTCAAGTTATATAAATTACATTACAAATATGTTCAACTATTAGTAAATTTAAAAACAATAAATTATTATCTTTTCTTTCGCGAAATTATCATGATAGATCATGAACCACATTGCGACATAGATGTATTTTCAGGTAATCGTGGCCAGTTATCAGACGAAACATGGCAACAGATTTCATTCTAGGCCACTGATTGAGAATCTGTTTAAGAGCCATGGTTTATTGGAATTACGATTTTTGAGTTCTTCGTAAAAAGAGGCCCTGAAGATGTTCTTTATGAGACTTTTGATATTGTTGAAAGGGAGTCTGGAATTAGATCTCTGTAGGACAGAGGCTCCCTTTTTTGCCAGTAGACCGGCCGCCAGTTTCCCTGGATTCCACAGTGGGCCGGAATCCACTAGAGAGCCACTATCTTGTTATTACTAGCAAACTATTTGAGGAGATTTGAGCAATTATCGATGGTTAAAGCTCGAGAGTGGCTGGGAGCATTAATTGCTTGCCTTTGAGTCAGATAATATTGCAACTTTTGAGAAGGAGTCTAGACGCGGCCGAAGTTGTGACAGGGCCTGGTAAATGGCCGCAATCTCGCCATCGAAAGCTGATCTATAAATGCCCCATCCAAATATCGCCTGCGCATGTTAATTTGCATATGTAAGGTGAGACATTCGAACAACGTGAAAATAAGATCACTAGAACAACAGTTAACAATGGCTTTTTAGCGCAGTATATTTTATGGAAAATATCTTATTAGCGCAGTATATTTAGCGCAGTATATTTTATGGAACTTGCGCAAGGAGCCATTTATGATAAATATTATTAAAAGCCTGCTCATTTAATTGCTAATAATTTGTGCCTTCTTTTAGAGATCATGAACATTATTCCTCAACCAAACAATGGTACGAAAGGGAGCTTGCACGGAATTCTGAAACGGCCACGAAATCTCATGCCCAATTTGACTTCACCACCCCCACCAGTTGCTCAGGTTCCAGATCTACTTTCAGTGGTTGATTTCTCCAACTGCTCCTGCAACGAAGTCAGTAAAGTGCATTCAGTATTTGAGGTTTATTTAAACTAAAAAACACTTTAATCCATCTTTTATTTAAATATTTATGAGGAAAAACTTTAAGTTTCTATGCTTAGCATTTTTTAAATGGAAGATACCTTTTTTTTTTAAAAAAAAAGGTAAAAAGTGGTAACCCAATTATTTTATTGTTATCATCGATTTTGCAGACGCACCAAGATTCTATTTATAATAATTTTAAATTGGAAACTAAATTCCCACTTTTTTTTTAATTTTTAAAGTGTATGAGCGTCGTTACCTTTTTTTCTGTCAGTTCCCTTCTTGTTTGGCTCCACATTTCTTACAAAAGTTGGTTAAATCGCTCTTCATCGAACACAAACTCATCTGGAAAGCCAGAACGATATGCGTCTTTAAGATCAAAATTTCCATTTTTTAACTTGACATGTTAATCACGAGCGGTACTTTCAACTATGGCACCCTCTCCGTACACAACACAAATGTCAGGAGCAGCATTGGCTGTCTTAGAATATTGACTAAAAGCAAAAGAATGCAGATACTATTAAAAATTCTCATTTTTCTCAACTTGACATTCCATTTTAATGATATGAAAGTTAACTGAAGCAAAAAACAAAACAAAGATATAACAAAAAAATATTCTGTTTTGAATCATCTAAACATAATACCAAATACATTTATTCAAATGAAATGTGGAATTTTAAACAGTGAAAATCGATGGTAACTTAGTTTCCAACCCAATATGTCACATAAATAAAAGAAAGAAAGACTCAGACATAAAAAAAGACTCAATGCTTCTTCAAAGACTTTAGAATAAAATACTCACTGACGTTCTCACTAGTCAGGTTTTGGTGAAAGGACTAAAAAAGGGAATACACGTTTAAATATAGTTATCAAGGTAAATGAGTTATTGTTCCTGATCAATTTCCTTTACTCTGAATCGAATAAATCCACATCCATGAAGATAAGGTAAATTTTAATGCAGAGAACCAGTTTCTTGTAAAACTCAACAATTTTATGATAAACGGTATGATTGTGGCAACTGTAGTTAGAATTACATATAAACTGCTTTTACTTCTCACACAAGTCAGTGCAGCTTGATCTAAAGCTGGGTAGACTTCAATCCGCCCACTTGGATTAAACCCCAGTTTTTCACAAAGCAAGTCATTTGCTTAAACTAATGAGCTGTCGTAGTTTTTAATGTATCGAAAAATGTAATTTAATTGGGGTTTTTTTTGTGTTTTCAGAGTCATTATGAAATGTTTGATGATGGAATGATTAAGAAGAAAAACACCATTCACCTACCCTTTGGAGTACCTCAGGCAGCTCAACGTAATGACAGCTTGTTGCTTCTGTACAACAACGAATACATACTGGCATACGATACAGAAAAAGAAATACCCCGTTGGGCATCGTTTACTATTACACATTCAGTAAGTTGATAGTCATACATATATTTGCTCAATTTAAATTGGCACATTTATTGCTAGTTGCAAAATAAATTGTTAACGTGAAAGCTTTGGAACAATATATTGGTGAGCCACCCTTTTCCCAAAGACGAAAAACTGCTCCTTTGTATTATTTCCAGGCAAAAATTTCGGTTGTTTCTGCAATTTCCACTTGAAAATAGGAAAGATTTCGGTCACATTTTATTCTTCTCAAGCTCTGCAGCTGATTTACAACCGAACATGCTTCAGTCAGCTGTGAGTTTCCATAAGCTTGATCTATTAGACTCCACTGTTCTTAGATTGCTTTTCAATCATTTCCCGCTATTTTTCTCTGGCTTTTGAAATGTTATTTTCTTCAACAGGCATCCATCACGGTATCATTATATACTGCCGATCTCTCGCAAGATGCTGTATTTACATGCCACGTTTGTGCCATATCGGCATCGAAGGTGTTAATTGCTTTCACTATAACAAGTTATCTTTTACGTATTCCAAATTCTTTTATTGCAGGGTGCGTAGCGTTTTTAAAAAGTGATTAAAGGTGCTTATTTTCGATTTTCGTTTTTTAAAAGCCCTTAAATGTGTTTTTTTCATTGGGTGTTTTTAAAAAATGCTTAATTTTCCTTTTTTCAAAATGAGATTTTTCTTTTAATATGTTGATTTTCACTTCGAATTATGCAAAAAGACACAATTCACATTGTTCTATTCAACGGTTTTCACAGTTAATTCAAACCCAATCTATTTCGGCGTATTGTCATTCGTAGCGCATGAGAACGTCATTCGTTTTACACGATTTCAAAATTTAATGATTTTTGACAATTGTCAAAAATAATGCCAAAAATTATTTTTCTGACATGGCGATTAAAACAAGATAAAACCGTCAATTGTCAAAAACTTTCCAACCCTGCCTAATTAATGATATTTTTTTAAAGTGCTTAAAAATATTTTTGAGTGCTTGAAAAGTGCTTAAAAGGTGCATATTTTTTGTTGAATAATTTGGCTACGCACCCTGTATTGCTCACGATATCCTTTTAAAAGTTATATACATTTATCCCTCATAGGGTTTAAAAATGTGCCCGACTGAGATATAAGCCACCTTGAATGTGTGCCAGCTATGGAAATAAAGCCAACCAATGAGAATAAAACATATACGGAATTATTCAACACAGCGGTTGCAAAATTGAAGGGAATGTTTGGTACATCATAAGGATTGAGAATTGCACGGCAACCCATTGCAAGAAATGCCATCGTATGTCGCTAATAAGCTTCCCATTATAGATAAACTGTTCATGCGCTTTTGAAACGGTTTTTTTATGACTTTAAATTATCTTACTTATGACTTTATGACTTTAAATTATCTTTTAAATAATATTATCAAAAATTGCTTTCAAGTAGATCTAGAATTATGCATTTTATTATAATGTATTGGTTTGGTTACAAATTGGTGAGTTCTTCAAGCGTGTCCCCAAATTCACAAACTGCGATACAATATTTAATTTGGACAATTTTCAAGAGTAATTAGAAGGAAACATAATATCTGCATAAAATTAAGACAGTTGACAGAAATTAAAGTACCTGTTCAATACGCCACCAGAAGACTGTCCATAATAGGGAAAAACCTTCAGCCCCGCATTACGGCATTTTCTGGCATGGGTTGATATGCAGATCTCATTCCTTATGATGTGCCCTACTTCCCCTCCAAATATATACTTACAAACAAACAAATAAGAGCCGTGGTGGCTCAAGGGATAACCACTCTTGCCTTTCAATACGGTGCCCCAGGTCCAGTGATGAATGGTCTATACGAATTCCGCATGCACCGACCACAGTGCTAACATACAATATCCTCAGTGGTAGTCGGATCATGATTTAGAGTCCCCTTGCTATCAGGCTAACCATGGGTGGTTTTCCATTCCATGTAACTCAAATGAGGGTTAGTTCCATTATAAAATCCTCTACGAAGATAAATTTCTCCCTATACTTGATACAGGAGATCCCTTGTCTTCTGGACAAAGCTACGGAAATGAACATTGATGGTCGCAAACTTAAAATTGGGTTGGCTGTTCAACGACGGTTGTAAAAAAAATACTTGCAAGAAGTAAATCACTTCAAATAAATATGTGAGTGCAACTTGGATTGCTAACAAGCAATCTACCAACAATTATAATACTAATAAGTTTTGTACCTGTATTTTGATTGCAATCCAGTTTCCCACAAATCCAAGTGGATTTATTTGATAAGCACACACTCTGTTAATTGTCCAACAATCACTTCCATATGAAACCATTGTTCTTTCCAATGCCTGGTACAACAATAGCTGTTTTAGTACTTCCCTTTAAACTTTTCGCAACCCAAGCTCATGTTTCTCCCACGCTCTTATGAGCAATTTGAAAGTATGGCTTATTCTTTACTTTGTCCCAAGTTTATCAAATGAAAAACACTCTTTGTGAATTGAAAGTAAAAAAATATTATCAGACATGATATAAATATGTTATCAAAACAAAGTTTTGTGTAAGCTTTACAATTTCTATCATAATTTCTAACTCATGAAATTTTTAAACTTTATTTTTTGCTAACAAGTAAGCTTTGTAACTTATAACTAACACTTTAAATAAAAATAAATTGTACTCGTGCACTCTACTCAAAATTTAATTTTTTTTCTCGTAATTCGTAAATATAATGTTTAAGTGTCATTTTGTGTTGTATAAGTTCTCTTTCCTCTATGCAAATCCAATTCAGGATGCTAACACTGCAACTCATACTAACTATGTACTCAGGATACTAACACTATTCTCAGATTTTATTTTTCTAAATATACTGACATTCTATGCCTTTAAATATTCACGCAGTAAAATTTTTCTCTCTGGCGTTTTGCAGAAAATTCCTTATAAGAATTCTACTGTTTGTTGGTCTGGTGATGCCAGAGTTCCAAACGCAACTTGTTCATCTATGCCTGATGGTTTTATTACACGGCCCCTCTTTTCTCCAGGTTTGTAACTTTTCATTGCAACTTATTAATACGTAAATAAAAAATTAAATTTTCATATAAGTGCTATTCAAAGTTAACTTCCATTCCGTTGTTGCAAAACTACCCCGAGTTTGATTTAAAAATTTATCTGAAAGGTAAAGTTGTCTTGTGCTTTTTAACCTGGTTTATTTCAGCACGTTTATTATCATTTCATTTAATATTTCTGTTTGCATAAAACTCAGCTGCCTGTAATTTCAACCAACTTTTCAAAGTGGTTCCAAGTTGCAATGTTGAGCCCCAAGCCTCTTCTTCATGGAAGTGAATCGGTGATGTTCAGAAGGAGACAAGTCTGGGCTGTAGGTAGACTGAATAAACACATCCCTTTCGAATTGATGCTGAAGTTATCGTTTTCGTAGAAAACTGTGAAAGTGCGCAGTATCTGCCGCAACGCAACACCAGATGTCAGCAATCTGACATGTTTCCTCGCAATCCTGTTTCCTCACATCCTGACAAGTAGCTTTTTTCAATTTCCTCAAAGTGTTGGAGCAAACCAAAGTGTTATAGTGTTGTACTCTTTGCACCTCGCATTTGACGAGATAATGAATAATCGTGCACATTTTGTTATGTTATACTTAGAAATAACGTGGATTACAATATTGTGTCTGGAAGCTTAGTGAATAATAGATTGCTTGGTATAATAATGGCCCATTACTACTGTCATCACGCCGCAATGGTGGTTAGTTCTCGAACAGTCTTCGTATTATTATAAATGAGTCAAAGTTATGTCTTGGAGTGAATTCAACGGAATTAAACTGCTGTTTGTAGAAAATGCAACACCATGAAAGAATCATCAGAATCAAATGAAATTTAATGCAGAAACGACTTGTACTGATACAAATAAATGATGAAATTTTCAAAACAAAAGAAACAAATTAAGCGTCCGAAATCAGTATTTGGTGCAGCCACCACGCGCTGCAATAAGTGCTGCTATACGACGTGGCATGGAGTCAAACAGATGTTGAATATCTGCTTGAGGAAGAGAATTCCATATCGCTTGTATGCGCAACCAAAGTTCGTCTTTGGAAACTGCAGGACGCGGATCACGAGTGAGACGCCGACCAACCATATCCCACACGTGCTCAATAGGCGACATATCCGGCGAATAAGCAGGCCAAGGAAGAAGTTGCATGCGTTGTGCTGAACAGAAGTCTCTAACAGTCCGCGCAACATGTGGGCGTGCATTATCCTGCTGAAAGATAGCTCCAGGGATGCCTTGAAGGAAAGGAACGACTTCGGGCTGTAGCACTTCACGGACGTATCTGTTGCTATTGAGATTACCCTCAATTCGTATCAAATTGGATCGTCCATGATACGAAATCGCACCCCAGACCATAACTCCGGGTGTTCGACCACTATGTCGTTCAATAATACACTCAGGAAGGCAGCGTTGACCGGCATAACGTCTAACACGAACACGGCCATCATGGGTCCACAAATTGAAGCGTGATTCATCTGAAAAGACAACTTGGTGCCAATCAGCTCGCCAGTCTCTGTGCTCAAGAGCCCACTGCCGACGCAGCCGTCGATGATCCGCCGTGAGGGGAATCCTGTATAATGGCACCCTTGCACGCAATCCACGGCGCAGCAGACGACGACGAATTGACGAAGCCGACAATTGTACACCTGTAGCAGTAGACCAATGTGCTGCCAGCTGCCTGGAGGAAGCTGTGCGATCATTCACCGCCATGCGGAGCAGGTGTCGATCATCGCGCTCTGACGTCACCTTCTGTCGTCCAGTGCCTGTTTTTCGAGTTGTTCGGTGCTCGTCGGTCCACTGCTTCCAAACTCGCATCACTGTGGAACTGTTCCGCTGCATACGAGCTGCTATTGCGCGATAGGAAAATCCTCCTTCTCGAAGGCCGATTATCCTCCCTCGTTCAAACTCCGTAAGTTGCTTGAATTTCTTATTCTTCCGTCGTGGAGGCATACTCAGGTCTCACTAAACGTTTGCCACTAACAAATAATCATAGACTATTTTCAACGTCCCGCTACAGCACTTTATTTATACGCTTTCAGCATCAATTCAGAGGGCGCTGCGCGCGCCACGCACGCGCGATGGCTCTGAAACTTTATTAATTTGCATAATATCCTATATCCATTATTAAAATAATATTTCATTTGATTCTGATGATTCCTTCATGGTGTTGCATTTTCTACAAACAGCAGTTTAAATTGTGTATACTGTTGATTATCTTTTAACGTTGCTATTATCAGCTAGCTGCAGGTAATCTCGAAAACCACGAAGAGTCTTTTATCCGGAAGAAAGATAATTTTTTTTTACCTTTTTTAAAGGTTGAATCTTTTAGAGTATTGAATTTGATTCGAATTTGCCCTTGTTGTTGTTTACTGATGACAATGAATTGCAGTTGAACTTTCAAGCCTTTCCTGAAACAATTTAAAACATTTCTAGATCGAACTGAATTCCTGCATGTATATTTTACGTGCAACTAATCTACAAAATAAAAAAAATCAATGAAAAAATTCTCTGATAAAACAAGAAAAGTTGAGGTAACTGACAAATTTTTCGAATGGATTTACGAACAAATTTTCAGGTGTGGTCCTAGCCTACAGTTCGCAACTTATTGTAACGCATTTAAACGTGTATTAAGAAACGTGTTGAAACGTGCACATGTTTATTGCTCTTATGAACGTCAACACAAAATGTATCGTTCGATCAACTCTTGTTTCTAGACATAGAGAGATTTTGCACTTTTATGTGGCATCTTGAACGTTCACGTACTTGAGTTCTGAACAAGCTCTATTAATAATCGTGATTGTTCTAAGGAAATTGCGCTGTACAGAATTTAGATGCAGAATGTGCAGGATGTTACATGAAAATGAAAATTCTTTCTAATATCTTTCTTCCATAAATTGATGCGCCATCTATTGCCACTCAATGGAAATAAATATTTAAAATCTGCTACTTCATTTCGTAACAACTGTATTTAGAATGCCTATTTTTCGCCTACATTTCTCAGAAAAATTGGATCAATGTCAAATCATAATATTGGTATCTTGAACTTTAATTTCTGAATTTTAATGACGAATTAAATTGAACTATGTTTTCTTTTCAATTGGAACCAAAGCACCAATAGCATCCTATAATCTTTAAAATAGTTTAATTTGCAAGATAATATGGTTTTATTTGGCGCATTGTTAAGTTTGCAGTAAATTTAGAAGATATTAAGAGTTTTAAAAGTTTTAACAGTCGAGGAAAAATATTGTAAAAGTAATCTTAAAGTTTGTTGCTTGTTTTAGAGTGTATTTTAAAGGGTAGAACCAAAAGAAAATCAACTCCATTGAATTCTATGAAGTGCGTCGAATTTCATTTACACATGTCAAAGATTGACAGCCATTTTTCTTTTCAGATTTCTCAGATGATAAATCTCAATCTCAAGTGTTCTTTGTGACAAATTCCATCCTGAAATCAAAGAACCACACAAAAATGTTCGAAGATGAAGTAAATAATCTTATTGAAAAAAAATTATTCGAATTAGGACCCATCAATATCATGGTAGGGCCTGTATTCGATCACCATACAGAAGACATTCGACGAAACTTAACCAGGTATTAAAAAAAAATTTAATAACTAAGCGTAACTTTTTTTAATACTGAAAGAAAACACAAATAATTAAGATCAAAAGGATAAAACTTCTTTGTAAAAACTTCTTTGAAAAAAACGCGCTAAAAAGCAGCAGAAATTTCAGAAAAAAGTATCAATACAAGAAACAAATGAAATAAAATAAAAATATGACCACCGAAGCCGACGTCTTCAGGGGGTACCGGCCTCGGTAGCCATTAAAACAAAACCATTTCTATTTGAGGGAGAAGCAAAAGCTTAAAATATCTCCCTCAGCACCCCGATGGTTTTGTATAGAGGTCCAGGAAAAACAAGATACATTCAAAATAATAAACAAATTACGAAAAGAAAATCAATCAATAACATCAGAAAATTAAAAACTCACAGTCACAGGTCAAGAATCAACTTCAAATGATTCTTAGAAGCATCTTAACTTTTTTTACTTATTTTAAATAATTAGTTAAAATAATGATTATTTTTTAGCACCTTTTGCATTGTGAGACATTTTCATTATGTATTTCTTCACTATTTATTTATGAAATCAAGTAATAAGATGCCTTAAAATCCATTGGAATCAAATAATAAGATGCTTTAAAATCCATTGGAATCAAATAATAAGATGCCATAAAATCCATTGGAATCAAATAATAAGATTCCATAAAGCTGTCCGAAAGAATATTTGTATGGAATTTTATTACCTTTCTCTTGTAATTTTCCTTTGTCATTAAAAATTCGATTAACCAGAGTAAATGCAGTTATAGTTTTACATAGAAAATTACTTAGTAAATGCATGCAAACAGAACATTAAAGTATTATTTTCTTAAGATTATAAAATTGTACCAAATGTTGTCCAATCCTTTGATCATGGTAGTTCATTCTCTTGCTTTTGTTGTTAAAGTGCGCTACAAAAAAAAGCGGACCACCCAGAATAACTTTTGATCTAATGATGGGATCTTCACGTTCTAGTACTCAAATCTTAATGGCTCGAGGGAGTGACCTGAAATAGGCTAGTTAATAAGTGCAAACGATATTTTAAGCTAAGAAATCAGACACAAAAACGTACTTTCTCCGAATAAACATGCCTTTTTCTCTATGGATTACGATTTTTGACCCCAAAAATATGAAGGTAGCTGCAATCGGGGAAATAGGGTCCCAATAGTTTGGTCAGGAGAGCTCTCCAAAGTTTGGACTCCTTAATGTTAATTTTCCTTTTATGTATTTCACTATATCTCGATAAGTCTTTTAGCGAAATGAAAATTTTTTACACATAATTCGTTTGACCAAAGATAATATCATGCAAAAAATAACCTTTATTAAATATTTATTATTTGATTTAATAATGAGCGAAATAATTTTGAGTTATAAGGTATGCAATTTTTTGCATCACTTGAAGGAATAGAATTTTACATGGCAAAATACAAAATTTCTGTGAAATCGGTCGAATACTTCCTGAGAAATCGAATTTTAAATATCTGATTGTTTTGAAATTCAATTTCTCTGGAACTATTCAACTGCTTTTAAATTAAGAAAGTGGGTTAAGATTTAAGGAAATGGAAGCCAATCAGTATCTCGTCTAATTAGTGGATCTTTTTTATAAGGAAATGAAAAGGTTTAAAAAGCGTAATTTCTTATACGGTCTACTTTTGTATTTTATAATTGACGTTAAACAGCCGTTCTATTAAGTGGGAAAGTAACTCTTGATGTTCAACACTGTAACCCGGGAATTTAAAACACAACCCAGCAGGTTATGCAATTCCAAATTAAAGCATTTGCTAAAATTTGTAATCGTAAATTGATTTTTTTTTCATAAAACTAATCTTTAGGTGTGTTACTTGGAAGGAAATATCATGAAAACACTCTGTAAATGAAACCTTTCTTTCCCAAAACATGAAGCCTTTTTGTATAGTTGAGTTTTTAAAAGTTAACAAATATTTATTTATGCATCTTTCTTTTGAAAGCGATATAGACTCTGGAATCAGACGATGAAATATTCCATTGATAAACTACAGGTATAGGACAAAATAATAGGAACACCTGTGAAAGAATGGAGTCGTCCTTCGACAGTCCAATAAACGGCGGGCCCGTGTCGCAAGAGTGTACCTCTTAAGGGTGATGAAAGGAAAGGTATCAGTCTAGCATTTGGCAGTGTGAGAGTTGCATGAGAAAAATCTGTTCCTAGCAAAGCGAGATTATGTCCGACCTCTCTGACCTTAAAAGAGGCATGATAATCCGAGCTCGCCTCGCTGGAGCGTCCGTGTCCAGAACAGCTAACCTTGTGAATGTTTCAAGGACCACTGTATCAAGGACTCTGTTGGCATACACAAAGTTGGGTAAAGTGTCTTCTGGGAAGTACAACAGCATCAGGAAGTCGTCGGACTGTGATAGACGGATGATGAAGAGGATAATCGCAAGATTACACTTCCGGTGATAACGTCCAAGATGAATACCCACCTTCAGAACCCCGTATCCATGAAAACTATTCAATGGTCATTCAGGTCAAAAGGGGCCCAGCTCCTTAATAATAAAATATTTTTATTTTTTCGCAGGTGTTCCTATTATTTTGTCCTATACCTGTACATGATAATAACATATCACGCAATTAAATGCGGGACGTTATTCTGCTGTGATCTATCACTAGATATTTTGTCGTTTGATTAGACTTTAAACCTATTAGTTTCAATGATATCCAGGATGTTTCGCAACCACCACCTGAATTTTTTGATTCAGGAATGAAATAAACGCATTTTTTTGTCATTTCAGCCACCTGATTGATTCAGATCCAATACCCAGTCACGTGTTTGTCATACTCACGTGGTGTTCATCGCTCGTGGAGCATTTGGGCAAATGCGATCCAGAGTTACTGGATGTGCAGTCATTTCTCCTGCCGAATTTTCCTTTTCCACGTAACTGTGAGGTAACTATATTACAACACTAATTAATAAAAGGTATATAATAAACACTTTTAGTTTTATAGACAGTGTTCTGTAATGTCCACCCTTAATACGTATTTTTAAAATCCTTGACAGAAATTTATATACATTAGATTCCACAAATCAATATTTAAGCAATAGATAAACAAAACTGTTATCAAAAGGCAATAGATCCCTAGTGAGGAATATAAAACTGGAAATTTCTAAACTTGTTTGATTGCTTCGTGAAACTTGAAGTTATTTCTAATGATCGTATATCAATTCGGCATACCAACGTCACTAATCAAACAGGTTTTGAAGCTTTTAGTCCAGTTTCCCGTTTTCTGTAAGCATGAAACGTTATTTCTTTCAGTTGAGTCAATCGTAATTCGGTAAAAACTACTAATATATATATATATATATATATATATATATATATCATAAAATAAGTTCAAAATGTAGAGAAAACACGGAAAAAATTACAGAATCATGAAAAAAGGGAAAAAATAAAATAATTATAATAATAAAATAAAAATCCGAGAAAAGGGGAAAAAATTAATAAAAATCCGGAAAATAAAATATATAGTCTTTTTATCAACTCACACGATTATATCAGCAAAAAGGAGTGCTTTCTAATATTGGCTAAATTGATACAATACAGCTTTCGTTATATTGATACAATATTAGAAATCACTCCTTTTGTGGATATAATCGTGTGAGCTGATGAAAAGATTATATCTTTTATTTTCCTGATTTTTATAATTTTTTTTTAAAATTATTATAAATATTTCATATTTCCCCTTTTTCATTGTTCTGTAGTTTTTTTCATGTTTTCTCGACATTTTGAACTTATATATAACATAAGTATTTAAGAAATTAATTTTGCTTTCTATTGCAGCTATATTCGATGAAAATTATTATCGTGTATTAGATTTCTTGTTAAGAAATCTGCAAAAATTTCCAATGCATAGTGTATTTATTGCTGAAATTCGGCGATAATTATAGACATATGTTTTGGTTTTGGAAGTAATCCGCTTATACATTTAATGAACTTCTTTTTAGAATGCTAAAAACGCCATGAAGAAAAATGGAGCTCGAATTAAAGAAATCGAAAGAATTACGGGTCTTACATTTTATTCCAATCTCTCCTTACTTGATGCCATCCGACTGAAGACGTCAGTTGATCACTTGGGTCTTTAGTATTAAAAGAAATTAAGTTTTAAACAATTGTGTTGTTTATGGCAGCTATGGATATACACATTGTAAAAAATAAATATTTTTTATTTTAAGATGACTTTGTTTTGGTGTTATATAAACAACATTTCACTCTCTTATTGTAAAAATTCCTATCACATTCTCAAACATTGCACACACACACACACAAAAAAAGCTCTCCTCTCAAATATCGAGATGACTTAGAAAAATTTTAACGGAAAATTCTTTTTTTTTTTCTTTTTTTTTTTTAGCAATGTTCAGTTTTTCTTATAAAATGATATCAAAAGTAAGATCTATTTTGCACCACGATTTCATATCTGTAAAGGCGAAATCTTGCTTTCGAAAAATTTCAACCTTGTACCGGCTAGCTAGAACACTCAAATATTTATTAAAGTTGCCTGTTGACATTGCATATTAAACAAATCTGAAAGCTACATTAGACTTTATAATCACATTATCGCCTAGTCTGTATTATAATGATCATTTTATTGCGTCATTGGCATAGAAGTTGTTTAAATCCTCAAAATCTGGAGAGCTTTCTCGTCGAAGTGTACAGGCGATCAGAAAGTGTCAAGATCAAGAAAGACTCTTTGAAGCTCGATAAAATTTCATATACATGTAAAAAAAATCAAAAACCAGTTTACATGTCTGGTGAGTCTATTTGACTGTTTCCGGCAAATGTGTTAGTTTTTAGCTAGGAACGTCCTTAAAATTTCAATTTCAAATAAACTGGGGTGTTTTTTGATGAAATTTTTTGATTAAAACTAAATGGAATTTAAATGTTTTATTTATCACGGATCGCTCAGCAAAAATAGAATTCTAGTATAGTTCGTTCACCAGGAGTTGGCACTTGGCTCCGCCTTCATCACGTGGTATCCGACAATACTATTTCGCTATTTTTGAGAGAAGAATGTGAACAATCCTGAGCAAGGTTGCTTTTTTGGTGATTGTATGACAAAAATATTTATTTCGCAATCTTTATCTGCATTTTTTTAACATTAAATATTTCATAAATTTGATAATATTTCGCTCTTTTGAGTAAATAGTTTGTCCTTTTTGTGACATTTCGGCTCAATACATTTAATTAGCTAGAGTAAGGAAAGGTATAACAGTAGATGATGAAGCAAAGTAAGTGACTGTAAAAGAATTCACTATGTGCGTTTGGCGCGCATTAAGGGTATCTCAATTTCAAGCGCGGAATCGTTTCTCCTCTTACTCCCGAGTTGAAATCAACTCTTCGTTCGAGGGGGTGGGGCCAAGTACCAATTCCAGGTGAACGAACTACAATCCTATGTCCGCTGTCATTTTCAGGTATTTTAAATCATCACAGCTCAAAAAAACTCCATTATTTGCATATCTCTCAAATGAACCATCAAGGGATCTTAAAGTGCATATAATGTGTAGTAATATACTTTGAGGGAACAAACATATAGTTTGTTTTCTTAGCAAGATTGAAGTACAATCGGTAATGTTGTATTCACATGAGAAATCTGTAAAAACGAAATATTTTCTTTTATTTCAGAGCATGGTATGATACCTTCCTTATGTCCCGCAGGGACATAAAGAAGACACGATTACACACGATTACAGTCGATCGTTAAGACACGGTTCCCAGCAAATCACCGAAGTCAAGCATCACTGACTGCTGTCAGTGTGCTGGTGGGTGACCACTTGGATCAGTCTGCCTAGGGACCGAGGGTGTGCGGTACTGGTCCTCTCGTAAAACAGTTTTATCGTATAAAGTGCTCGACTTCGCGTGCTGGTCGTCGGACCTTCGAAGCGGGGGTACCAACCCCTTCTGCAGAGGATCAAAATTGTCATGGCATGTCTTCGGATCACCATCAGACCGTCGCGAATAGCCCATTGTGCAGATCTAGTACGACGTAAATGAACTACAACAACAACAACAAGACCTTCTTTATTGATTTAAAAACATGCATTTACAGGCTTGTGTGCTCAATTTAGGCTTATAAACCTTTGTCAAGTTGAAGGACATATAGAACAACACAGAGGAAGACACCACGAAGAATACATCCGGGGTTACGGTGGGATTCGAACCCTCTACCTCCACACTTTGCACAGCATTTGGCCGGTGATACCGCTCGGCCAGAGAGGCTCCAATTAGACTTTCTATTTTGCAATCTGGACACTGAAGTCAAGCATCACTGTGTACGGTCAGCGTGCGGGTGGGTGACCACTTGGATCAGTCTGCGTAGGGAACGAAGGTGTGCGGTATTGGTCCTCGTTAAACTGTGCTACCGTAAAGGGCTCGACTTCGCGCGCAGGTCGTCGGGCTACCGAAGTGGGGGTGCCATCCCCTCCGCAGAGGATCAAAATTGTGATAGCATGTCTTCGGATCATCCTCCGGGATGTTTCCCAGACCGTCACCAATAGCCCACTGTGCAGCTCTAGTGCGACGTAAGTTAACAACGACAACGACGGCAATCTGGAATATTAGTTTCTAAACACATATTAATCATGATTCAATTAAATTTCATTCATCACTCTTGCATGCTTAATTCATGATTCGTTTGTGAATTTTTCGTTTTCCTGAATTTTTGTCGTGCAAATGACTGTAGATACAAGGAGAAGAAGCACCCAAGACTGTAATGAGAGCCAAACTCAATACCCTCTATCTTCTGGAACAATTTGATGAATGTCACTCCAATTGTCTGCGGCCGTAGAGCTATCTGAAGCTTTTGTGACGAGCCTTGACGTCTTTTTTTTTCTTTTTTTTAATCGCAGTTAGGAAGCTAAAATTTATCTGCCTATTTCAGACGATCACTCAGTCGATGTTGTTGTTGTTGTTGCGGTTCATCTACGTCGTCCTAGAGCTGCACAATGGGCTATTGGCGATGGTCAGGGAAACCTCCCTGAGGATGATCCGAAGACATGCCATCACAATTTTGATCCTCTTCAGAGTTGATGGCACCGCCGCTTCGGTAGCCCGACGACCTGCGCGCGAAGTCGAGCACTTTACGGTAGCACAGTTTAACGAGGACCCATACCGCACACCCTCGGTCCCTACGCAGACTGATCCATGTGGTCACCCACCCGCACACTGACCGTAGCCAGTGATGCTTGACTTCGGTGATCTGCTGGGAACCGTGTCTTAACGATCAGTCCACTGCGGGACCATTTCGAATTTAAAGACAGCACAATATTTTGAAAAACCTCACAAAAAATGATGATTCGTCCTGAGTTGTAATCGAACTTACCTTCATGTATTCGTTCTGATTGAGAAATAACAATTGTTTCAAGTCATTGAAGTGACCAAGAGATCGAAGCTCCGTACACTGATATACAGGCAATAGGGTAGTGTCTTTAAGTCCTTGATGAACCGACGTTGCAAGTCCTTGATAAACGTTCTCGGTTCGATGTTCTCTATTTTATAAGTTTCGCAGGCTTGCGTACTAAATTAGCTCGTGTACAAAAAGCAAATATTAGGAAAAAACAACAGCAAGCAAGAATGAAAAATTATTCCACACTAAAATCGGTTATCTAGTCTGTTATCTACATGCTTCAGAACGCTCGGTACGCGAACAGTTCGATACTTACCTGTGGTATTTTAAAGCTCGTTAGAAACGAGATTTTGTATAGGAATTATCAGAAAAATCTGGCAACAGTTTTTAATGATGAAATAGATTGGATGATTTTTGCTCTCTTCCATTGTAGCATTCTTTACCAGTGCGTGAGGACCTTTGTTTCTGGATAGGCAGCCTTCAGGCAGGTATTATTTTTTGGAATAGATGCAAGTTTTGTATAAGTTTTTACGAATTAATTAGTAAAATATTTGTAGGGCAGTGCATAATTTCTTAGCTTAAATAATTCTTAAAACTTAATGAGCTTTTTTTCAATAAAAACTCAAATTATCGTTTTATTTTTTCTTAATTCTCAGAGTTAAAAGATCTAGTATTTACTTCTAAACCATCTACGTGTTATTTTTCCTTATAGTGTAAAAAATATATTTTAGTATCCTAACGTGCAAAACAGTGTGTTTTAACCAATAATTAGAATTTTTATTTTGTAGCTTCGTTTGTTATATTATGCTTGAATCAAGTTTTAAAGTGGTAGTTTCTGTGAAAAAGTATATCGTTCATTTGTGTCATTCTTAGTAGATATTATTTATAAAACTTCTTGCATTTATCTCCAGTCTATTACATACTGAAATTTAGATAAATTTAGAATTATCTAGATGTCGAGATAATGCTTTTAATTTTGTTCGCATGAAAAAACCTTTATGTTAAATTCGCGGAACACTGGCTCTTCAAAGTTACTCTGGTTGTCTTTTATTTCCTCAGACATAGTTTATAGCACCATATGAATTTTTTTGAAATTGAATACTGTGCTGGAGTTCAGCATTTGTGCTATTGTCCACATTGTATCTCAATACATAAATTAGGGTATTTAATAAAATTATAAAGTCAGATAAATTTAATAAATAAAATAGTTTTATTTAAAATTTTGTTAATTTTTGTTTGCAAAAATTTTGTAGGATATTTAAGAATTGACTCGTGTCTACTTGAGAAATTGCTTTTTTCGGTTTAAGATTGCATGAAAATTTAAACTGACTTTTGTTCATTTTTTTCCCTGAAATGATATTAGAAATATTTGAAAATTAAATTTTATTTTTAAGGATTCATAAAGCTTTAGTTTAGAATATAGAGATAAACAAATTAGTGTTGATACACTTAAAAATAAGATTAAATTAAACTTGCTCCATCATGATTTATTATGATTAAAGTATTTTCCTGAAGTATTGATGTTAGTCTACAATCTGAAAGTTAAAAATTATAGCCACGCTTTGCTCTATGCAGCGTACTTATTTATATAAAATAATAGGTATGTAGTTTAGAAACTGATGGAAAATTACCATTTGGGAAAAAAGCAATTTTTTATTTCGCACCTGATAAAATGTTTTAAACTTAAGTGCTTAGGAATGAGTATTTATTCAGGATATTCTATTAAGGTTGTGATTCCATGTATGTACACAGTATAATGTAAAAAAAATGTTTTTAATTTTGAATCTAGACATTTTGCACTCATTGGAATTTTGAGTTTTTTAAGCACAACTGGAACGAAAGGTCGGAAACACTCTTTCTAATCTAAAAATGTGAGCAATTTGTAATGGAGATTTAAAAATGTAGCCAATTTGTTCATGAATTAGAAAAATATAAATTATTTTGACAAAAACTTAATGTTCAAAAATTAGTTTTTGAAGACTTCATCAAAATCCAAAATATTAAAATTTAATATTTTAAACACAGAAAACTTCTGATATGTAGAATAAGCAAGACTTAGAAAATGTCTACCCTTTTTGGAAACATTGGTTTAGACAAACATGAAAATCTCAATCTTGTTAACTTACATCACATATCTTTTAACCAAAGGTGTTTTCTTGAGTTTAACTTTGTTATTAAAGAAAAATAAATATTTCTGAAATTTTAATAAACATTTTTAAAAAATCTTCACTGATTTTTTTTCTTTTTTTGCATAAAAAGTACTTTATGAAATATTTCGTGTTTTGAACTAAAGTTTAAATTCTCTTGTAATTTAGGTAGGACCGAAAATCAATATTTTTAAAAGTTGCTGCAAAAATATGTTCATAAGCTTTCTTCCGATAATCTATGCATAATTAGTTCCATGTGTTATAATTGAACTGTTGAGCGTTTCATATACCGTAGAACTTGTTTGCTGTTTTTTTTCTTTTTTTTTAAATTTCTTAAAAACAAGTACAAAATTAAATTTTTAAATAACCAGTGGTTTCTTTCCGTTAACTTAATACTATACGAAGTATAGCGAAGTAGTACGTTAGCAGTAGTACAGTAGTACGTTAGCTTCATCAGTAGTACGTTAGCTAGTTATGACCGAAGAGGACTTTCATTTGCGGGAACAAAATGTAATAAAAATATAATGAATCATGTTACATAGTTATGAAAGAAAATTAAAAGTTGTTACTAACAAGTCAAGGATAGGTTTAACAACTATCCTTCACTTTATCATTAAAAATTTAAGATTTTCTCCCAAAACCTACATAATAGATTAGTATCTAATTGGATTTTAAATGTTTTAGGAAATATGAACGTTTTGACATGGATTTTCGGAATCGTTAGTGTCCTAATCCCTGCCACTTGTACAATAGTGCTGGCTGCCCATGATGGCGAAATACAGACACTATCTTCGAAAGTTCATAACTTCAAGATGGACCTCCATCGCACTCTGGAAGGACTGAGGGTACGCAAGAAAAGGCAAATTGAAGCCTCGCACGGTAAGGAATTTATATTTATCTATGTCACTGGCATTAAATCAACTTTATCAAAGGAAAAACCACCTATCTAGAAGACATTTTGAAGTATTTTAATATTAGATGGTAGTTCTATATTAGAAGTAATGTACAGTGCGCAAAATAAAAAACGGACCACCTTGAATAACTTTTGATTTAACCCTAGATTGCTTAAGGAAGTCATTTTGACTGCTTTTAATTTCGATTAGAAAACCAATGATGTATATAATGACACAATTTTTTAGAATTTTGTACAGCATATAATTTTTTTAGGGTTAATATTTACTAAAAACTTGTTATATAACTGCAAATAATATAAAAAATATTAAATTAATTTTTAGCAAATTTCCTCACACATTATTTATTTTACAATCTAGTCATTTTGACTGCTTTTGGACAATATAGGTATATAGTAAGTTTGTCTTTCTAGTGTTAATAATGGGATTTTCACATTCTAGGACTGTTTTGTTCTACTTCTGGACTAAATTGCCCAAGGGGTGACCTCAATTATGCTAATTAGAGCAAATTATATTTTTAGTTAAGGAATCAGACACGAAAACGTGCTTTCTCTGAATAAAGATACCTTTTTTTCGACGGATTTAAAATTCTGACTCTCAATATATCAGGGGTTGCCGTAATCAGGGAAATATCGTCCCAATAGTTTTGACATGAGAGAGGTCTAAATCTTCGATAGTTTTAATGTTAACTTTAATTTTTGCATATTTCGTCATTAATAAAGAACTTTTTAAGCGAATTTTTGCATACAAATATGAAATTTGCTTAACCAAAAATAATTCCATGCGAAATATGACTTTTTTAATGAATATTTTATATTTTAATAGTCTAAAACATTTTAATTTCAAGGTCTACGATTTTTGCATTTATCTTTTTACATAAAGAATGCAATTTTAAGTTACAGTTTTAGCTAAATCGGTCGAATCTTGAGAAATCGAATTTTGAAAGTCATATTTTTAAAATTAGATTTCTCAGGATTAAAAGATTTGACTAATTCGGGAAAATTAGATTAGACTAATTTCACTTAACCTTTGTATTTTATCATTTAAAATTGCATTCTTTAAAATGAAGTAAAAAAATTATAGACTTTACAATCTAAGATTTTTTTCAATTATTAAATAAAATACTAGAAGTTACATTTTGCATGGAAATATCTGTAGTTTTATGAACACAATTACGAAACAAATTTATATTTATGTTCAAAAATTTTTCAATTCACTTAGTTCTCGAGATATGGTGAAATACGCAAAAATAAAATCTGCATGGAAGGGTTCGAACTTTGGACCGCTTTCCTGACCAAACTATAGGGACCCTATTTCCAAAATTGCTGCAACCCTTTATATTTTGAGGGTCAGAAACCAGAGTATGTCTAGAAAAGTTATGTTCATTTACAGAAAGTACGTTTTTGTCTAATTTAGTAACTTAGAATATCGTTTGCGCTAATTACTTTTTTGAACCGTTGACACTGAGTCCTAGAAAAGTGAAGATCCAATCATTGGATTAAAAGTAATTTAGCGTGGTCCATTTATTTTGTGCTCTGCATACGGTAGTGCTTTTACTTCATTCAAGCAACAAAAGTACATATTACCCATTGGCAAAATGGACGTTTTGGTTTTGATGGCTTGCGCAACTTATTTAGAAGTCATTACACTTTTTAACCGTCTTCAAGAGTAATTGTAAACAGTGCACATGCGTTGCTATGGAGACAGCTTCTATTTTTATTTTCACTAGCAAGTATTTTTAATTTATTTACATAATAACTTAAAGTATGACTTTGGGGTACACTTACAATGGATTCCATCACACGTTGGAATCAAAGGTAACGAGATGGCGGACTCACTGGCTAAAGATGCTTCTTTAGAACCTTTACAGCCAGATTTACCTTCCACTTTCAATGAGGTCTTTGCAGAGTGGAAAAAAATGTTTATGGACCTCAGGAGGGTTCCTCCTCCGCATAATTGGTATATCAGAAAACGACCTGGAAGTGCCTTGCTTTTTGGGGGACCTAGAAGCCAGCAGACTTGTTTGTCTCGCTTTGCAAGTGGTCACTTGAGGTGTCTCTCGTATGTTCAGGGGCAAAAGACTTTTGGACTTTGCATTAAATGTAAGACTGCTCTGGCTTCGCCCGAGCATATTCTAAACTGCATCGATTTTAAGATCGACGAGGTTTTTTCAAAACCTCATCTGTTTTTAGACTTTCTGGACATTTCTGGACTTATGGAATTGGTCTAATTAGGATGGACCTCTTGGGGATTAGAAACAGCAACAACACTTAAAGTATTTTTATATTCTTTTATTATAAGCTTATAACTACTGGCTTGACTGATTTGATTTCAATATGAATACTGAAGAAGGTAAAGTATTTCGTGAAGTCTTGAGACACGTACATAGACAGGATTTGAAAACCAATCCAACGACAAACATCAATGGAGACAGTTTTTGCAACCCATGATTCGAAATGTGTAGTTCAACGGATTCAAAACAGAAAAAAAAACATTTGACCAATGGGTAGCTAGTGATCGCAATAAGGCGATCACAACTTTTTCCTTTTTAACCCTTTGACGCAGAATTAATTCTAAGTTATCTTATTTTTAATTACTTTCATTTTTTTTTCTTCCAATTTTCCTCTTACCCAACATTATCTATGGATTTGGAACTCTCGAAGTTCTTTGCTTTATTTTTGCAAATTACACAAATATACATTATACAAGTGCGTATACATTGTTTTGATACTGTTCCATCTAATAAGAGCTTCCTTTCAGATGCCTCGTATACATATCAGATGCGCGTTGGAAGTGCAACTACCGAAGAACTCCCCTACCTCTCTGACTACAAACTCACGTTCTGGATTCCAGTTGAACATCAAGGACAAAGGCAAGTGCTGATCGGAACTGAGGAAGGCAATCTGATCTTGTTCCAGCTATCTGCTGAAGACGATAGGCACGGACAGATAATTGCCAGTTCCTACGAAGAGGAAGTCGCCATCAAAGCGAAGGTGATCTTTTCATCTGAAATAATAATTTGTTGGATATCAATGCCTAATCGGGTGTATTGGTAACCATTTTTCAAAATTTCAAGTCTAGAACATTGACATTGGCACACATTTACCCAAAAAATAGCAAATCGGACTGAAAAATATTTAGGCCTCATTGCGAAGTATAAATATTAATTTATTTGGTATATGAAGTGTGCTTACATTTTGCAATGAATTTTTTCCTTAATTGGTCAGCCAGAGAACTTTACTATTTTAGGGAGTGAATACCCTTAAGGAATAAAATTAGTATCCATAGTGAATTTCCAAAATCATGCCCTCTAGTTAGACCGCATACCAGCTGTAATAATTCAATTTTAGATTATTTTCTGTGATCTTTATACAATTTTGAAATTAATTTTGAATTAAATATTAAAACTTTCAAACGTTTTCTGAATGTGTGTAGGGTAAACCAACCAGTGAAGGAACACTACCCAAAGAAGGAACATTTCATATATATTGATTAAAAAAGAATTTGAAAGTTTTTCTTTAGATTGATTGGTAACAATAGCTTACTGCCAAACAATAGGAAGTCATCTAACAATGTTTTGGATTACCTGGTCACATAGACTTCTCTGGAAAAAATTTTAATATTATTATCTCTGCAACACCTTGTTTCTTTGAAAAAATTATAAGGTGAGTGTTTGTATTTATATGTTTGAAGTGGAATTAATTGCATGTAAGAGTTTTATTTTTCTCACTGTGAAAAAGAGAATTCAAAATATAGTTATTGAAGTTACGTTTTATTTTTTTAAGCATCGTAGCATAATCAAGTACTGAGATAAGGGGGTGTTTATTCACTTGATCACCAAACGATGAAAAACCAGCGAAGGAACAAGTGTTCCTTTACTGTTTGTTTTTTTCTAAGTTAATAAAAATAAGAGATAAACTTTAATTTTCTTGTACCTTTAGTGATGTTCCGCATCAAAAGTATGTTAAAAATACGAAAAACAACTTCTAACCAGTGAGGGAACAGGCATGTTCCTTTACCGGGTATAGATTTCCCAGTGAATGAACAGTATTTGTTAATATGTTGACACTTTAATTTTCAATTCATGATTACAAAGAAAAGTTAACATTTTCCAAGTATTTATATGTTATAATTTTAGGAATAGCCTTGTTTTTAGACATTTGTATAGCATATAAATTCGTAAAGAGCATTAAAAAATAGCCAAAATTAAGTGTTCCTTAACTGAGTGTTCATTCACTGGTAAGAGCTGTTTCTTCACTTGGTCTTCTTACTAGTTATTTGAACCTCCAAAACTTTAAAACAATATTATGTAAGTTCTCTAAAAAAATTTTACATAATTTGCAATTAGAAACAAATATGTTGACACTGTCATTTACCTAAAATTACGAATTTTGAAATTAATGATTTTTTAAAAGGCAAGCGAAGCTTAAGTGTTCCTTCAGTGGTTAGTTTACCCTACAAATATTAAGTAATAAACGGGAGGCCATTGTAGCCCAGTTGTAGGAGGGACCGGGATTGCACCCGGAGAAGTCTGGATTTGTTCCTCGTATCCACTAAGACCAGAGTACATGCATTGTACGTGCTTAACACTAGATTGCCTAAGAAAGCCATTTTGACTGCTTTTTAATTTCAATTGGAATAGCAATGATGCAATTTCTTGGAGTTTTGTGACTTTTTGTACAACGTATAATTTTTTTATTAATATTTACTGATAACTTTTTATACAGGTTGGTCCTAAAATACGTCAAAAATGTAAAGGTAGGTAGAGGGAACATAAATAAGCATTTTTCGGATAGGAATGTGTGTGCGGTAATGGCACATTAAAGCACTAGCAGTATGAATCAAAGGAAACTGAAAGGACAAGTAAAGACAAAAGAAAACTAGATTCCCTGCCGGCTCAAGTCAGCATTACCGCACACACAATCCTATACGAAATATGCTTATTTAGGTCCCCTCTACATACCTTTGCATTTTTGACATATATTTTAGGACCACCCTGTATAACTGTAAATAATGTAAAAAATATTAATTTCAAACAAATTTCTTCACACGTTAGTTATTCTTTCACAATCCAGTTATTTTGACTGCTTTTGGGCAATATAGGTATATACTAAGTTTCAGTCTTTCAAGTGTTAAAAAAAATCTGTGGACTAAAATGTGAGGTCAGTTGCTGAGCAATATAATGGGTACAGGGATCTGGATGAAATAACCTTGATCTATATCTAAATTGTGGAAGTGGACTCACAAATGATCTCCTTTGCAGAGGATCAAAATTTTGATGGACCGTTTTCAGATCATAATCAGGGACGTTTCCCAGTCCGTCACTAATAGCCCATTGCGCAGCTTTGGTGCGACGTAAATAAAGTATACCTACCTACATACATTAAACGGGCAATTTGTTACTGTTTTCAGGCTTTCAGTTATTACGACGAACAATGGTTCATCATCCTTCAATCAGCAAGAAACCAAACCTGGATTCGACTCTACTTGAGAAAAGGTCGTGGTTTTGAAAATCTGCAGACAATTACTTTGTATGGTGAAACGGATTTTGATCTCGTGACCCTGAAAGGAGTTCATTACATGGCTGTAACCACCTATCAAAGTAACAGGAATTCTGCAACACTTGCGTGAGTTCTATATCTACCTTTGACCCTTTTTTATTATAAAATGAATCTGTTTTGTTTTATGAATTTGGCTTTTTCGTATAAATTTTATTCGGCTATTTTCTTTATGAAGAACACGGGCACTGCTTTTCTCGTGATCGTCAGAAAATGGGATCTGCATAATGAGCGAAATTTGCCGTTGTTTGACCTAATGATTACACTCTAACTGATGTATATTTAGAATTGCTCAAGATATGAAATATTTCCGAGTAGTAGTAAAAATATCGTATTTAATGTGCAAGCAAAAATAATTCTAAAATTTTGCATATTTTAGGGTTTTACCTTTTACTAGAACATGCTTCCTAAGACCCCGAGAGAGTCCAGTAAATTTTTCCCGATTACTTTAACTTTTTGGGTCAAGCTTATTTTATTACACTTTAAGTCGCTAATCTAGAATACGTAACATAGTTTGTTTGTAGTACAACCGAATCCAGCTCTTAGGCCAATAAATTCTCCTTTTCATTTAAAAACACGAATTTTTTTTATCTTTGTAGGTATATATAAGTAAGGGTTATACAGAAACGGATAAAAAGAATCTAAAAAAAGGTTTTAAAATTGTGTTTTAGTGATTTACTGCAAATTTCTAATGTTGAAAATTATTATTTTTATAAACAATAGAAAAATTGCAATGCATTAATCTTTTAACACCAAAAGTCATTTTTCTAAATGCCTTCAGTTTTTGAACTAGTTTTTTTAATTCAAAAACCTTCCCTGCTTTAAGCACGGGTTCCACATCCCAAATTCGCCTCAGTTAATTGTTTCATCCAGATTCTTTTGCTATATTTGTTTTTCGATTACTTAAGCCGGTTACCAAGTACGTAATATTTTGGGTGACATTGTAAAGCTGAATCATTACTCTTGAGACATTAAACTGATCAATCTATCAAACTTTATAAAGTAAAGTATATTTACGTTGTACCAAGTAGTATAAAGTAATACAATTGTATTTTTAGTTAGGTGTGTTTGTGTTACTGTGAATGACCGAAATTGGTTGCTAACTTCCACCGGTGAATGCTTATAATAACATAGTCGCTTTGGTAAATGTCCGAAACATATACAAAGTCTAATTAAGAGCCACTGCTCGATATACACTTCAGCATTTCTTTAAGGTTCAGTGCCACTACTCTGTATACATTTGCCTGATATGCCCTACACTTATTTTTTTAAGGTTCAGTGCCTCTTCCCGGTATGCTCTACATCAATGTTTTTAAGGTTCACTGCCACTGCCCGGTATACATTTGACTGGCACTCCGAACACTGATGTTTCTAATCTATCAAAATTCCAATCTAATCAAAATACCGAATAAATATATCAGTGAATAAATTAATATCAAATAGGATATAACAATTATTTCGGACATTCACCAAATCGACTATGTGATTGATGACATTCGCCAGTGCAAGTCTACTTTCGTCGGCGAATGTCGAATGAATTAACTAAATGCGATGAAATAAGCGAATGAATTAATTGAACCATGGATTTGCGTCGTAGACTTCGATCATTCACAGTGACATTTATATAAACTAAATTAACGTAAACCTTTATCTATCACAACAAACCTCACTAATGCTTTAATTTCTGATAAACTTGGGTTCAGCCACCCATTTTCAGATTTCGTTTTTAAATTTTCAGTCATTTTTTTAGTTTTTTAAGTTGATTGCGTTCGACGTAAAAGTGTTTCTAACTTTGAATTTGGCAAAATAGCGTCCTCCAAATTTTGTGTACCAAGTATCGACCAGATGTTCAAAACTTTTTTTACAGCGTCCCTTGGTATTGAAAAATGTTCTGAATCGATTTGGTATGGATCATTTTATGATTTTAAATTTAATTGATAAAAACCTATAAATAATGGAAAAAATGTTTGCGTTTTTTCAAACCATTCTTTCTCGTTAGATTCTTATATCAAACTGCTTAACAAGATTATGACATCTACTCCAGAGCTCAAAATTTCTGTTCCACAGTTCGCTATTGGCGGCTGAATACGTAGGATTGGCGATTAATAAATACTAGTTCTGCAATTGACAGATGGTATTTTGGTGCCGAAAAAGAGCGGTATACAGTGGGAATATTTCTGATCTTTATTTTGATATTTATATTTTAATGACAAATGATTTTTAATGTCTTGTGACTGATACCGAAGCCATTGCGATGTTACGTGCAACTCTTTAAGTTAATATTTAGCAAACAATAAATGTTCCTATTTTTCAGCTTTTATTCTTTTAAACTTTTAATCTCCAAAAACACTACAATTGACAGCATTTTAATAATTGTTCACATTTTCAATGAAAATAGTCTCGAGCAATTATCTGACTAGTATCCTTCATGACCTGGTCCACTTTAAAAAAATTTTTAAATTCTTAAAGGAAAACTTTAAAACAATTGTCGCAATGTGTTGGTAAAATTTTCATTTTGGAAATGGTTTAAGTTTCACGTTCAAAAAATTCGATAAAGCTCAAAATGAGTGTTTTTAAAAAACTCAAAACTCGTAGTTTCAGAAATGGGACGTAGTTTGAAATCAGCTGGTGTAAAAATTGATTTAACTCAAAATTAACATTTAAAAATATGTATGAAATAATGTCCATTTTTTTCGAAAACACGTTTCATCTTGTCCGTTTTTCTCCAATGTGTATTTTGAGCCCTATCTAAAATAGTTTTTCTTCGGTGTATACTAGTCAATTTCGTAAAAAAAAAATTGAAATAAACAGATAAAAATTAAGTGATATAATTGAATTGCATGCCCTACAAGATGTTTTCTGTAATAATTAGTAATTTTCATTCTAGAATTATGACAACTGTAGAGCTGTATTAAATATCTAAAAAAAATAGGAGGTCCACCTCTGCTCGCTGCGCTCTCCAACCGCCCGCCGGAACTGCTTTCGCTGTCCGTATCGCATTGCCTCGATAGATCATTGGATAGCTATGCTCGTAAAACTCTATGCTGGTGCTCTTTTTTAAAATTAAGTTTAAAAAATGTAACATATAAATCCTGTGAAAACTTTTATTTATGGATTCAATTTATACATTACAATTTTATTTATATTCATTTCAAAGCTAAATTAACTAGCCTGACACTGAACAATTTGTACCAAACATTTAAACTAAACTTTTAGAAATCATTGATAAATACAAGCGTTATTAGTCTATGCTTTACGTGGAAGCGACATAATGCCAACATGAAAGCATAGCAAACTTCATTAAATACTTTATTGATTTTACTGAATTACGTGAATTGTTTAAACTATTTTGGTTGGTGCAAATGTTTTACATAGAATGAATTTTTTCAGTCTTTATCATTGGACTCAAACCCAGTTTGATGTGATTGCAACCAGGACAGATGTGATTGGACCACGTTCAGTTGCATGCTGGGTATTAGATGGGACTCTATACATAGTCCTTGCTCAGAAATTGGATGGCACGTCTGACTATAGTTCACCGGTATTTTTGTACAATGCGAGTAAGTATATTAGTTTGCATTAGAAAATGATTTATTTTAAATGCAACTCGTAAATCTAAATTTCAAATATGGATCATTGAATCATGATGCATATTTTTATCTCAAATAATTCTATGTAGTTTTTTTTTATGAAAGAGATCTATATTTTAAAATATTTAAAGGAAATATTTAACGGACTTACAAGGAGGATACAAAAGATCATTCACAAATCCAGATTTTTTTGCTGATAATTTTTAAATTAACAAATGCAATTTTACTAGTTTTCTTATTTCAAAGTAGTTATCGAATTATAAATTAACAGAAACTTCTTATTTTACCATAAATGCGTCACAATTCTTTTTCGTCCTGCAAGAAAAATACTATATGTTGACCGTAAAGTTCTGTATAATACTTTTTAACATTAATCATAAAATTTAATATTTAAGTATTAAGAAACTAAAACTTTCAAGTTTAAAATGCCTCCAGGTGGTCGAGCGGTCAGCATGCCTGACTGTGAAGCCAATGGTTGCGGGTTCGAATTCTGCTCAGGGCATTGATATTTCTGTTCTCTGATGTCTGAATGTGGTCCACCCTATAAACTGGCATCTGTGACAGTGTGGCATGGGTAATGTTGCTCGCTTCCGTGACTTAGGTTCACAGGTGCCAAATGGGTAACGATAAATGAGCAACACTTCCGGCATCTTCCTATGCGAAGGACGTGAAAGTTAAGTGCCTGCCATAAGAAAATATGTATATAATAATTTAATAACTATAAAGTTTTATCATTTAAGTGATAAATTCCGAAAGTTCCAGCACAACTCTGCATTTACAAATATTGTATAACATTTTAATAGATGAATTATATCCTTTAAGTCTTAAGAGAAATCTTGTGAGATCGTTTAAAATTGATACTTGAATATGCATTATTGCCATTTTGACACGTTGCCGCAAACAACTGCTATAGTCCTGCACATTTTAATATATAAAAAAGAAACATCATTAGTACAAATAATATCGAGGTACTTATTAGTTATTTAATCGAATGCATCGAAAACAAAAGATGTAACATAAGAGGTAATATATCAATTCAACAAAGGATAGAGTATATTGTGCTATGTAGAATAAAGCAAAAACGTGAATAAAGCACAAATGAGAACATAAATGAAGATACTTAATTTTCAGTTGTATAAACAAGAACCTTCCTCGGTGTCATAACGTTAATTGAGGAAGATTCTTGTTTATAGAACAAACTACAGTGTCCATTTATGACTTTAATTTTTGCTTCATTTAAGTTTTTTGCTTTAATTTGTCAATTGTTTCTTTTTACGATTTTGCATGCGTTAACAATTTGGAATACTTTCTCATCCAGCGACAAATTACGGCTCCAAGATCCATGTGTATCTGACATTTCATATATTTTTAGTTTACTCAGTTTAAAAGTTTCTGTCAGAACGAACTATTTACTCTGAAATATTTTCTTGAATGAAGTAAATATAACGATCAAATGATAAGCAAATGACGGTAACAGTAGTTGAGTTATGAAAAAATTGTAAAAACTTTCAATTCCAAGCATACGACTGATGTTCAATTATGATTGCTGTAATAAACAATTGAAAAATGTGTTTTTGAGCAAAATCGTCAAATTAAAAGTCCGGCAACGTGTACGGATTTTTTCAGCTGATATTTGCTATCTGCCTTTCGGGAAAATTTCTAATTCTTTGCAAATGTTTTTACTCTAACTTCATGAATATTTTCAAAAGCTTGTAATTCCACGACCAAAACGAATTAGACAAAGGTTTCTTGTAGGCAAAGAGACGAGCTGCAAGAAAAAAAGTTTATTTTGCGAGAGGAACTTCGGGTACTTTATCACTTATAATTTTAAAATGAAAGTTCCATTTGAAAAATTTAAAGAAAAACACTCGTCTGGTATAAAAAAAAATTTTAACGCACATAAGATATTTCTTTAGCATTTCGAGTGAAAACTTCTTGAATATACTTCAATTTTGTGTAAATTAAACTCAAACTAAAGATTAAACTAATTTTTTTGGTAAAAAAAAAACTAGCAGCAGAAAACAAATCGGCTCGAGATTGCAGTTGTAAGCTTCTTACGGAAATCAATACTTTAATTTTAGTAGCAGACATTCAATTCAAAATTAAGTTAATCTTAATTTCCAGAAAACATCTTTGAACATGTTTAAGAATTTTTTTAAGACTTGATGGATTCTTAAAGCAATCTATATAAATATTTTAATTATCTCACAATTAGATGTTTAGCATATAAATTTTAGAAGTTCATTCACATTCTTATGTCATTCTTAATTTGTTCGTTCTCGACATCAAAATACTTTATAATACGGTTGCCAAGGCATAAGGAACATTTGCTTCTAAAATTTCAAGTAAACAATCTTGAATATCAATCTGCAAAATGTTCTTACATAATATTTTTTGAAATTTAATAATGAAAAATATTAAATGTTAAAAATAGATTCGAATTTTTTTTGTTAATTGTTTCAATCTATAACAGGTCTTACTGCAGTATTTGCTTTTTTGAATTTATGTAACAGAATCTCGTAAGATTCTTAAGCTTAATATATAAGTACACTTAATCTCTGAAAAATAGTAAACAAAACCTAGACCTCTAGCAATTACGAATGGTGACCACCGATGGCTAACTGAAAAATGGTAGCCACTGATACACTTTTCGTGGTTACTTCTAGATAAGTATTTTAGGTAGTTGGCTCGTATATCCTTTGAAAAGATTTATTTGATTTAAATTAGATTTTTAAGTCAAACTATTTTTTAAAAGTTTAATTCACGTTTTACAATTTATTAATCTTTATTTAGAAGACGAAAGGGGATTAGTTCTGCAGCAAATGCTTTCAATAGAAGGGCCAATCAAAGTGCTTCATTTTTATGTCAATGCTAACCACTATGTCATTTTCATTGGAAGTCAGAATGCAGCAATATACTGGTGGTCCAGTAAGTACTGTTATATATATTGAATTATTTTTGAAGCGTTCCTTAAATCTTTATCTGCATATTGCTAAAAATTGCCTAATTTTAAAATGTTTGAGTTGCAAAAACCTTAAATTTTGTGACTTAATTATAACATCAATCCCATTAATTGGAATGATTAGAAAACTAAGGTTTTGCTTCAATTAAAATAAAAACTTTTTCCTAATCTTATTTTCATAAATCTTTTTTTCCACATTTTTCAAGTTTAAAAAAGCAATCAAACTAAAACATAAATCTAGGAAAGGCTGAATTTATGAATTTGAAACGTCTTAATAAAAATGCCTGCCAAAAGGTCGCTTTTTATAATTTTTTAGTTTTTAAAAATTTTAACTAATAAGGGTGAAGCTGATATTTTTTTACATGTACAATCATTTTGTGAAAGCACACAAAAGAAAAGAAATTGTGAAATATAATTTCCTTAATTATAAAAATTGTTGTCCGATATAAGTATTGAGATATACCAGCTAGCTTGAAAATTTGCAAAATGTTAAATTTCATATTTTGATGGAATGTACACAAACTTCAATTTTTTTTTCTTATCTAGCATAAGACTTGTTTACAAGTTTTGTGTACTTATTAGGTTGTATAATTGCATTAAATTCTGAAAAGAATGCATGCTGTGCAAAAATGGAAATTCCTCACAACTTTTCTAATTTTGCTTAGATTTTGAAATTCAGAAATCTATTTTTTTTTCAGGCAATCAGTTCTTGCTGTGGCAGATAATACGCAATACGGGTAATGCAGTCGATGCCTCAGTTCTCACGCTTAGCAACGGTGAAGTGGTAATTGTTATAGCATTGCAGGTAATTTTTTGGTCTCTTATAAATAAGTATTTAATTTCTTGTTTAATTTCTTTCATAAGGCAGTTCTATCACCAGTTCAAATTTTAAAAGGCAAACTGGGTGAAACCAAAACTGTCATCTGCACTCGGACATGATCATAAAACCTGGAAGCTGAATTGACTTTACAAATTTTATGGGTTCGGTCTGCAATCTCTGACCTTAATAGTTTTAGATAATACTTATTATAAATGCCTTTTTACTATTATGAGTGCTTGTCAAAAATTTCCTTAAATTCTACCCATCGGGGAAAGAAAATTAGCATTCAAATAACAATACTTGACTAAAATTTGAGTTATTTTATATTTAGCATTAGGTAACAGTCCTATCTGATTTACAACTACATCAATGTTGAACTTGGTAACTCTAAGCTTTAACCAGAATCGAAAGAAAAGCTCTCATTTAAGCAAACTCGTTATAGGGGAAAAACTTTTAAAGAAAATGGTCCGCCTTTGCGTTACATTGAGAAGAAAACCTCTTGGTCAACCCTCTGGTTAGAGAACTCTCGCCCTTGATTCATTTACCATTGGGGGATACTTTTCCTCAGCGCGTTTGCTCAGTACGAGCCGGAAACTGTATATAAATCGACCAATCAATGCTGGGATTCGAAAGTTAGTTACCTGATTGGGAGGAGAGATCAAACACGGAGCTGAAGAATAATTCCCCACTTAAGTTTAAAACTAAAATGGAATTAAAATCATCAAAACTTCAGATGAAGCTCTTAAACTTAATCTAATAAGGAAAATCTCCTTTTCTTACAAATAATACAATAGTTGTTGTTTTTTTTTTTTTTTTTTAATTTGTCCTAATGGAACTTAGGAATCGTTAATTTAAAAACAAATTCTTATTTAATTTCACTTAATTATTTAAAACCTGTACTATTTAGGAGTTTTCTTTTTTTAGCAGGAATTGTAAATATATATTAAAGTTGATAATACTATTTAAATGTATATAAAGTTTACCGTGAATAAAACGAAGACTTTCAGAAAATTCCTTCGAATATAATTGAAGGCAAGGAATACTAAAAAAAAAATCTTTATATTTTAAACAGTTTCAATACTATCTTATTTTCAATTATTCTGACGTCTTTGATATTATGTGGATTTTTTTTCTGTTAACATCATCTTATCCTCTTTTAGTTGGATTATTTAGCGATGTTTGTAAGTGAAACAAATTTAAATGAGACATTGAGCTGAAACCTATAAATCTTAGTGTTACTGTCAAAATTTATTCTTTAACCTTTTAAATAAACCCAATACATAATTCTAATTTTAAAAAGATCAAAAAGACTTTTTATACAAGCTTTTTTATTAGAAGTAAACTCCATTCAGCCTTTTAAAAACATGTTTACACAATTATGATAAAATAGTGCTACAATTATTCACACACGTGACGCAGAAAAGTCAATATTTCGTAAATGTCTATGCTTGAAGAATGAGAATGCTGAATTTTAATTCTCACAAAAAATCTTAGCGGTTTTGTGCCATAATGACAAATTTTAACAATATAAACTGTAAAATAAAATTCCTATAAAATGTTATTTGTTTTCTTAGGAAGAAGTGCTGTTCATTACTTTGGATTCATCTGGTCACTATATTATATCATTCAGTATGCCGTTTTGGGGGTACTACATCTCTTCCCTTCAATTTATGTATAGCGGCGATGCATATTACGCTATGGCTTTATTCGCAGCTACATCTTATTCTCAACCCATGCAGATGGTCAGAAAGTTGACTCTTGACCCACATTTTGTGCGTGAGTATTTCTTAATGAATTATAATTAATTCCTGCTCAGAAATATTGAATTTAAGCCAGGTTTGCTCATTTAATAAAGCATTCATGATTTTATATTTAGCCTTCAATAATTACAAAAATTCAGCTGAATATCAGCTGATTTGAAAATATCGAAAGCTTAAATATCTTTATTTCTTATTTATTACAGCGACTGGTTCCTCATTGGATACGCTGAGACAGTGTTTGAGTGATGTTTACGTCACACTGGAAGAACGTCAAAGCGAGATGAATAACATCAACGTGGATCTTGGCAGAGTTTGGCTTAGAAATAAGGAACAAAAAATAAATTCGCTGGTGTTCGTTGATGGTAAGACTTTATTTCAAAACAGTTGCATTCGTTCTTTTTTCAGAGATATCAAAACCATACAGTCGCATGCCTTCTATCCTAGCAATTTCGCTGCAAATGTTAATTCTGATAGAAATCAAATTATTTCGTGAAAATATTTAAAATATGTTGATTGGTTTAAATGTGATTTTTCTATATTGGCTTTAGTTTGCTTTTACAAGTTTCGTAATGATCATCCCATATATATGAAATATGTATCAGTTTTATAAAATATAATATATTAATATACATAAATAATTTATATATGAATTAATTTATTTGCTATAATTTATGATATACGAAATTTTTCTTAATATAAAGTTTGACTGCAAAAAGAAAAGAAAAACGTTATCGGAACATAATGATCACTATAGAGAAAAGTCTGTCTGAAAATAATTAAAATATGAGTCCAGTAGAGGCAGAAGATTCTTAGAAACAACTGCAAGATTTAGCAAGCAGTTAACCTGGTTCTAATGCCTTCTGTGGCGCCTCCCCTATTAGCAATTCGATAAATTTAGATATCATTTTGCTTTCTGGATATATTCAAAATTTAATGTCACTGAGTCATTGTGAAACTATTTCATAAAATCGGTACAATGCAAAAAGAGGTTTCAAAGCAACTTAATTTCTCAGTGCAATGTTTCTAGTAAGATTCAGACATCTTAGGCGCCACTGAAGATCTTTCCAGAATGCCGCTTTGTTGAATGTCTTGCTTTTTTAAAATGTTCTTTCTGCCAACCCCTTTGACTAGTTGGTTATCTCAATGATTCCTTAATGAGAGTAATAAAGCTTAGGATAAGAGGTTTAAGCGAGCTACGTTCGGACTTGAGGGTATTTTGAGGTATATTTTGCACCTTTGAATTAGCTTGAGGAATTAAGAAGCAGACAATGGCTCAAAGTTCGCATGGTAAATGTTCTATGGTAATATCCATGTCAGGTAAACACTTTTTGAAGTGTTTAGTCTTGACCACTTAACTCTTAGATAACTGACAGAGTTGAAGAGTAAGTCGCACGTCTATTTTTTTGTCGGTAGTCAACAATGGCTTTCCCAAGTGAACTTTATATCCGACCTCTTAATGACATTCCAGAACACACCTTGAGTCACCGGTAGATTTGTAGATTGTAGATTTGTTGGCTTCTTAATCTTGCAAAGTTTCCGCTGCAGAATCGCTGAGTTTCTGACAAACATTAACAAACCATTAAGTGCTGCATAGAAACTTGCACGGAAGACAGAATAGTTTCAGGAAAATGACCTTACTCGTTGGATGATCTAAAACGATTGAGTAAGCATACATTTTTAAAATGACTTTTATAATCAGTACAAGATCTCCACGGCGTGAATTCAATTAACAGTAAAGTCAATGTCATTACATTTCAGACACACTTCATAATGTAAGCCATGATCACTATTTAAAAGCTTAAAAAAATGCAGAGTTTAGATGTTAGCCCCAATAATTTACATTTTAACTAATTACTATTCCCGTAAAGTTACATTATAGATCTTCATTAATCATCGAATTTTATTTAATCTTTGTTATAGGTAAAATATCATCAACCCGAAAATGTGTTGTAGAGAATATAAAGGTGGTTCGACTGAAAAAGATGTTACCTGACTCTTCTCTGACTGAAATTGATCAAAGCGTCTCTAGCCTTAAAGACATCGTTCGCGGTCTTCAGCAGAATGTACTGAAAAGTGTAAGGAAATCTGTCGAACAAAAAATAACAGGTAATACTTTAATTTTCTACGAATTTAGCGCTCTACTAAACAGTTTGAATTTGCTTCATGCTTAAAAATAAAATAAACAGATATGCTTAATGTTGTTTCATTGGTTGGAAAAAATTTTCGAACTATTTCAAACTTTTTTTAGCACTTTTTACCTCTCGAATGAGATTACAAAAATCAGATTATTTTATATTCAGTTAGAAACTCCAGAACCCACCCTATCTAATTTGGAGATAAATGTACGATAGCGAACTTGAGAAATGTACGATAGCGTACGAGCCATCTCTTTTTCTCATACTAAAGTACCGAATGTATTGGGGTATTCAACTTTCAAAACTTGTTACAAATTAAAACAAAGTTTTCCCTTTTAAATGTATTGAAATCTGTTGATGTGCAGTTTTAACTCGGATCGTCTCAATTGTCTACAAGTAAAGCATCTGAGATCTTAAGATTGAAAATTTTAACATTTCTAAATTTCTCTTAAAATTTTACTCTATCAAAAACTAGTTTCTGTTCCCGCTGGCATTACAATAAGTAATTGCATATTGGTGCCCCATTCAATATCTTTGATATATATCTAAAACATATATAAGTAGTTTTTAACTTTCCGCAATTAATCTTGCGTTGCATATAATTCAATTTTGCGATTTTAATTATATTTAAAGCCTTGGAATTTAATATTAAAGTCAAATATTCGATAAAACTAAATTGTTCTTATAAGTCTTAAAATTGGTGCATACAAGTAGATCATTTAGTTCTATTGTCGATGTTATCAAACTGACATATAAGGCTCTTTGGAGAAGTTTTTCATATTTCAATTTATAATTTAAATATTGAATTCTACGAAACACTGAACCATTGTACCTTATTTCTAGGTGACTTTGTTCTTTTATCCCTGCTTTCTTTTATCCTTTGCATTAGTTTCTAGCGCAGTTTTATTTTTACCTTGAATTCTGCTCAGCACAGCCACTACCGGATCGTCATGGAACTCCATTCGAGACATTCTACCATGGATCTCATCTGTTATAAATCAAGAAATTATTTAATAACAAAATCCTGTTGAAATAAAATGCTGTGGGGGATCACTATATACATCTGTTTTTTCACTTTGCAAAATGAGAATTTTTTAAAATGACATTTTCTTCTATTTCTAGGAACGAAAAACTTTGGAAATGTTTATGTTCCTTCTTTGGCCTTAAAATCCTCTCCCTCGGATATTCCCGTAAATGGTGTCCCTGTATCCAAAATCCAAAACTACGCATTGCGAAAGTACGGCAACCAAATATTCCAAAAACCAGTTCAAATAGCCAATGCCTATACTACCGAAGTTCTGACGGATTATTTAAATGATATTGAAACAAATGGTAAGAAGATTTTTAAGTCGTGTATTCTTCAGGTCTCATAATTTCGTATTTATAATGCCTTTTCCTTCCAGATTTCCTGCTCTTGAAAGGTGAACAACATGTAACAGGAAGTCTGTTATTTCTAAATGTCCAAGCAAGCACTGTGACTACGGACACATTAAATTCTATTCCATTTAGCAACCTGGTGACAACCCTGCAAGACCAGAATATTCGAGGCTTGAAAGTAATAAACTCCATGGAATCTGATGTTATAAGTGTCCAAGGGCAAATGAATGGGGTAAGTTTTCTTTCTTGTATTTTTTATTGAAACAAAGCTTTCGTACAGGCTATTTTAAATTTGAAAAAACTAAATTTTTGATAAAATAATAAGTTTGCTATTGAATCTAGTTTGAGGAATTTCATTGCTACGTACATTTGATGCTTGAAAAATGCAGACACATACTTCCCAAAACTCTTTCCTTCATAGCTGTTTCTGACCCTCGAAACTTCTTTTATATGTATATAAATTGGTGATTAACTCGCGTGCCTATTCTGCCTTTCTGTTAATAACCATTTTTCTTGTGTTCTTATTTAATTTATAAAACACTCCTTTTAGACTCTTTATACTAAAACCAACCTTTTGAGATTTGCTTTAAAGGTAAGTTTGAGTCTTAAGCAAGAGTCTTTTACGTTTAATTTCGACTTGGAAGTTTCGTTAATCACGAAAATAGAAAATTTTCTTCTAGAAATGAAATTTATTTTAGAAGATTAAGACGAAAGCACTACTGCTGAAAATAAATTTAAAGTTTTATTTTCCAACGTTTAAATCTTTTGTAACAAATTTCGACAAAAAAATTATGGAAGTAGTTTTTCAACTCGCGTGAAATAAGTCTTAAGAAATCATTTGTTTTTCTGTATATTTTAGTTTTTACCATTCCCGTTATTCTTTGAAAATATACATAAAAAACTGCGTGTCCATTCTGTTTTTCGGGTCTTGAACCCTGTTTATACTTTATATATATCTTAAAGGAAAATTTCTCAAACGAATCAATTTAAAATGTATGCCATAGCAAATAACTTAATGTGCAAGCAGCTTATTGTCAAAAATTTCAAATGAAATATTCGAAACTATTTTAAAGCAATTTGCATTGTTTCAAATTTTATTTTGATGTAAGTTTTGTGGAATCTTAACTTGAAATTTCATTATCTTTAGGATTTAACTACCAGCAAATCTAAATTCTCTTACTTATAACAGATACATATTTAAGAATCCATATAGTAGACCGAAGACATTTATGTGCAGAGTATGTCCTGGTTTAGTTTATAAGGAAGCCGATGTTCAAAATCGTAATATACATTTTGGAAGAAGGAACTTTAAGTTCATTTTCTAAAAGAAGGAAAAAGTATATTCCGCTCCATCCTCTTTCATTCAAGAACAACCTTGGTGCTTTAGTTAAGCTCGTGTAGTGTGTATGATATTAAATATACAGAAAATACCCACCCTTGGCTGTTAAGCCATTTAGTGACGCCTTTTGAGAGGTTATATATTTCCGGTTATCCAGGACAGAGCATGCTTGCAGACATTCGGCATTCATGTTTTCATATAGTTCGTCTAAAGTAAGAACTCCCCTAGCCATTCGTCTGAACCCGTGGCGGTGACTATGATTACGAGGTGTAACCATTTCAAGGAGGGGGTGGGGTCACTGTTTAGAAGATTTTAGCTCGGATTGGAGAAAGAAAGGGAATATTTTTCGATCTTTTCTTCGGTGTGTTACCCTAGAGTGAAGAAGAGCTACAATTCCTGAAATGCGTTATTTCCATAGCAGCAGACAACCACAGATTTTGTGGCAGGGAGAGTTCTTACCGTAGGCAAACTATAGTCACACAGCTGACACTCTTATACCTGCATGCCATGTAAACAGTGTGAAGCAATATAATCTTGCAGTCTAAGAAGATTCGGTAGGTTGATATCGAAGATGCGTCAATGGCTAGATTTTAAAATTCTTGCACAGTGACAGTTTGCTTAGTCTCTGACGATTCAATCTTTCCCTCTTTAGGTTGAATTTTTTATTTCATGAAAAATTGAGTCATTGAAAACTTAAAGCGTTTGACAGAGATCACCCACTAAAACTAAGATGTCAATAATACTAATACTCTATAATTTTAGAACATTTTAGAATTTAAATTTTGAATTTCTAAATATTTATGGCAAAATATTGAAACTTCAAATGTTAACTAACTAAATCTCATTACATACGTTTTAAACTTCTCCTTAACAGGAAGTACTAAGAGACATTATTCCGAACATTGTGAGCATTGATGATGATAGCGAGCTGAAAGGACACGTGACATTGGCAGAGATTTCTGAAATTAAAGGAGACGTCTTTTTGATTGGAAAAATTAACGGATATATCGACCTTGCCCAGCTACTTGATGGAGCTGTTTTGAAAAATGATAGACAGCAAATAAAAGGTAAAAATTTAAAAATTTACAACTGCTAAACATACTCACGATAAATTATAGTAAATTGATTATGAAAATTTCCAATTTTAAAATTTTTTTCCTTCATAAAATTGATATGAGAGGCTAGAATTTGAAAGGCAAACCTCATACTGTTGCTTATTGACACATTTAGCCAATAGTTTTCAAACAATGCATTTACATTTGGTTCAAAAATAGCCATCTTTATAAAGTTGAAATTAAAGAAACATCTTAAATTACTAAATACAAAAATTAATGTTAGTATTTGTTTTTAATATAATACAAAAAATAGGGTTTTAACGTTTTTAAGGAGATGTCAAGAAAATGCAAATGAAACAGAATATTTGCTTCAGAATGGGTTATGATAACCATACAGCTGAGCTACAAAAAGTCCTACCAGGATTAATCGTAATAAAAAGTTTAATCAATGTAGCTTACTCGTACTGAAATTTTCAGTCCTAGTTTTCGTTCGTAATCGTCGACACATAGAAAATTTTTAAAATACTATTTTAGCGTTTTAATATCGGCATTATTTGAGACAAAAGTATCGTTCCAAATCAATTTTTAAGCTTTTTGGGGTGAGGATCAAATGTCAATGAAGAAAGGTTTTTGAATTTGGCCTTGCAGATAAAATCATAAAAGCTGAGAGCATGCCTAATATCTCTGTATACAAAATTTTATTCTCTCAAGTGATATGCTTGCCAGTTGGACCTACGCTGGAAATTAATTTACAGCAACTTTTTCGGGCAATAGCTACATAAGTTTCTTCTGTATGGCTGCACTTCGTTTAAATTTAAAAGCAATTTTTCATCCGCTTAAACAAAAACATATCTTCAACAAAAGTAAATTTGAATAACCTTTTGTAAATCGTATTGAAATTAAATTATCTTTTTGATAACTTTTTTTTAAAATCTTTCTAACCTCAATAGTTTTCAAAAAGTAAAGTAAGTTTTGTAAAAGTTTTTTTCTAATCACTTATTTTAAAACAAAATATCGTTCGATTTCATCTCCAAATATTTTAGATTTGGTAGCTCAGAGCATACGAAATATTTCCTGCAAAGGACGTTTATGCAACCCAAAATGATTACAAAAAGGTCCTTTGTCATTTGTGCAACGTCATAAGACCCCTTGACTACATTAAAAACCCATTATAAACATCATCAAGCCTAATTAAATATTGACACTTAATTAGTTACCCTGTTTAGGCTCGCATAGTTCCGATTCTGCTTGACAAGAATGAAACTTGATGTATACGTTGTATGGGCCACGTGGAAAAATCTAGAATAAAAATTTTCACCTTTTGTCCGATGTCCGAAATGGAAAGGTAAAAAGGATGGTAATGTAACTTCAAGCGTTTCTAAAAGTAAATAGCTATTATCATAAAATCATTCCGACCAATGTCATTTCAGAGAATTTTATTTAACGTAATCAATTAAATCGGAGTGACTAAAGTTAAAGGTGAGTTACAAGAAGGAAAACTACTTTCAAATGAAGGCACTCATCACATGTTATTGTAAGAGAGCGGGGAGTCCTTATTATTACAGTTGAACTTGTAGTAACGCGTATTGAACGCATGCCATTATTAAAATTTTATCTCCAACATGGGTTTTTTTTCCGCATGTATGCAGTTTTCGTACTTGGCCGAAAATTAAACTAGTTTATGAATTGCTAAATATTTGGCTCGTGGTTCATATAACGTAAATATTCTCATGGACTTCAGACAACTAGAATTGATTCCCTCCGTTTTATGCTGGTCTAAATAAGGTAACTTGTGATACAGTATGGTTATAATTAAAATGTAGCACTTACGTCTCCTAAGAAGCAGCTTTCTTTACTGGAAAGTTTAATATTTTCAAAACCTATTTTTCAACAGCTAAACAAAACGCTAATCTGAATCTTAAATTATGGCTCTTCCGAAGTTTTGAATATCTAGTTTAATTTAGAAACTTGTTTTTGTAAGAATTATCTTTAAACTGCAAATCTATATTCTGAAAAAATATTTGCTTTTATTTTAGGAAGAATGTGTTTCGAAGCTCCAGTCCTAAATGATAATTTGAAGGTTAAAGGTCACATAAATAACTTGCACACAAGTCAGCTAATGACCCTTTCATCTAACCAAATAATTCCAGGAAACTTTGTGTTCGATTCTACTCTGTTGGTGACCGGAGACTTAGCCACAGATTCCATCAATGACGTGGATCTGAAAGCAGACGCAGTCCTTAAATCTTCAGATCCACAGTTTGTGATGGGGATGAAACGTTTCTTCCAAGATGTGACGGCTGATTTCATAGACATGACAGAGTACACTACCCTGGATGGCGTGGATCCATCTCTGTTGGTGCAAGATTGGGTGAAACATAAAGAAGGCATAGTGGAACAAAATTTAACCGTTTTGCCTAATGTTGTGGTCTTAGGAAACTTATCTGTAATCGAAGGTATTAATGGGCGTGTTGTCTTTGACTTACCAAAAACAGTGTGGTTGAAGAGAACGAAGCAGGTAAGTTTTTTAATCTTATGAAAAATGCTAATATTAAGAATTGATTTTGGAGTGACTTACCAAATATCTATTTAGTAGTCACGATAACGTTTTCATAATATCTCACGCTGTACTGGGAATGTTATGTATTATGTCAACAATATCACGATGATTATCGATCATAATTATCGAAGTTATCAACAGCAACAATTATCGAATATGTTATGATAATTACCTGTGACAATGTTTATTGAACATTTAACAAGCTAGATTTCTATCAAGTGGGGAAATTATCGCGATAAATATCAGCAACGGTACTATTTTTAATACCTGCAAGCATACCGCTGTAATTTTATTCATATTTATTGGGTTCGAAAATTCAGTTTTTTCCCCATCAGAGGACTCAATTATATTTCTCATAGCCAACCTTAAGCAGCGTTATTATAAATTTTAACATCAGATATATCAAGGCTTGCCGATGAAAAATTGATTCTACGTAATAGTTTTTGGTTGGTGTTCGAATATGGAAAATGAAACAGAATTTTCGACATATTTAAGGTTTTTTTTATCAAAAAGGTAAAAAGGCTGTTCAAGAAAGGAAAAGCAATTATCCGTTGTGCATGGAGAAGGTGTATTGGCAGTACATCAGTATCAAAACTGGCTTAAGAAGTTCAGATAAAGATACAGGATGATTCACTTCGCAAGTTTAGCTAGTGAAGACTCAAAGCATTAATTGACGCAAACGATCGAATAAAAACTCGTGAAATCGCTGAAACATCAAATTTATCGAATTCAACCGTTCACAATCATTTGGAAAACGAAAGGTTGAAGCTCTATATGCGGATTCCTCATCTTGAAGAAATGTGTGCTGTAGCGTTGATGTTTGTTATTTGCTTCAAGAAATGAGTTCTGATTCTAGAAATGCTGTGATTAGTCAAAATTTTTGAAGCTCATCATCAAAGACAGCAAAACCCTCACTTCGAATAAAGAGGTCAAAAATCACCTGGATCAGTTTTTTTGATAGCTAGAAACAAAAATGTGGAATCTATTGCCAGGTAGATCGCAATTAGTATTGGACCAAAATGATTCCAGAATGATATTGGACCATATATAATTCGATAAAATATTCATTATGAGAATTTCCCTTCCTTTTCATAAACGAAATTACGTTACGAGAAAAGTAATTTTTTTAAAATTATGATTGATTAAAAATGTTAAACTGTATATTAACAGATTGTGTCAAATGTAAAAATAATGCAAATTACTTAAATGGAAAAAATATCGTAATATTCTGAGAAATATCGAAATTATCTGACTAAATGTCACGGTTTCGAAATTTCTTTAAATTCTCAAAAAATATATTGTACTAGACTGTTGTAATAAATTAAAGGGAACAATCGCCGCTTGTGCATAAGCATTAAGGAGAGAACTGTTTATCTCAAGTATTACTTTTTCATCCCCGCAATATCATTTGTGCTACTCATCAGATCATTTTTATTACCTGATCTGCAGAACGTTTTATTGAGTAAGTAATCGTCTGGAGAAGAAAACGGCACTGTGCCGTTTTCACTCGGTGTTTGCTTTTCACAGAGCGCAATGTAGTTGGCTTAAAAATTAGTTTTTCATATCTATTCCTGCGAAAGTGTTTCACTGTCTGAGTAGTCCTCACGCGGAGAAAATTCCTGTTTCCAAAGATTTAAACTGGGCAAATATAAAAACTCGTACAGTGTAAATATTTTCTGCTCCTTTAAAATGCTTTACTATGCAATGATTATTATTAGTTATTTTTTAGTTTATTTCAAAGAATCTATAAAATTTTTGGAAATTTAATATTTCTTCAATATTTTTTCATATTCTCTTATCTATGTTTTGTCCAATGAAGTTCCAAAAAATTTTCTTAAATTGAACTTAACTAGGAAAAATCAATATTTAAGGAATGTCAAGCTCTCTATTCACATTATTTTATAAAATTCCATTTTGGATCTTCAAGCTTTGGAAGGTCTTTTATTCTACACAAATGTCACAGATCGCTTCATAATGACAGCTCAGTGTCATTAAATACTGAGCCATCATGGCACAACTTCAATCGTATTTTTTTTAGTCTATTTCAAGTGAAATAGATGTGTTCTACTTTAAAAGGTATGGGAAAATATAGATTAACGACCTTATGTTGGTTCCCCGAATTACCCATCAAATTTACCACCTTCCCCCCAAAAAATTGCGCTCGAATTATAAATGAATGATATTAATAAAGATTATTAAAATACCTTGCATTAAACTTCCTGAACTGTAGCTATATAGTAATATTATACTATTAACTAATATATTTTGTTTGTGTACAACTTTTGAAATTGCAAACATTTGACATTTTAAAATTCTACAACTTCATGGCGGTCTAACAATTTATATTTGACCTTTTTTTCTGTGTCAAATTTAGTTTTTAAATACGATACTAAACGCGAAATTACGTTTTCCTGAAACTGATTGTTTCCCGCATTTTCAGGAATCCAATCCCGTTTCTGTTCGATTTCATAGTTTAATAGTTTTGTGTATTAAAATATTGAAGGTGCAATTTTCTAACAGTTAGCTCTAATTCTTTTCTACAGTTTTCTATCAACAGCTCTAATAATTCAAGTTTGAAAATTGTTTTGCTTTATTAACTCTAAAAAATTCGACACCAATTTTTTAATCTTATTTTATAAATGTAGTTGAGATCAGCTGATCCAATTTAGGATTTACGACTACTAATATTAAACTCTGTAGCCTTGTAATTTTGAACCACATCCAGAAGCCAAGGGAGCTCCTGGATTAAGCATAGAATTGCGATAAATTTGCTTTCGTGGAGGACTTTTTAATGAAACTAACCCGCATTTGAGTAACATGGCGAGGAAAACCACGAAACCCTGATAAGATTAGCCTGACGGCAAGGGAACTTTAACCCATAATCCGTCCACCACTGAGGATATTATGTCAGCACTGTGATCGGTGCGAACAGAGTTCGGAAACAGTGCAGACCAGCCATTGCTGGGATTTGAACCCGGTTCAAATCATTGCAAGGCGAAAGCCATATCCCCTGAACCACCACTGCTCCAATTTTGTAATTTTAATTAAAGTCTGAAACTTTTCATAAAATTTAATTTTTATTCCTTCTAGAAAATTGAGACTCCAAGTAGCTGGAAGAAAATCACGGCCACCCACATGTTTGTAACTATCGTGAATACCATAAATGTGGAGAGTGATGTTGTTCACAGCTACGGAGAAGAAATCATCGATTCCTTCAAACATTTCACCAACAATGTGCAATCGAATGTTGTGGAAGCTATGGAAGATGTCTACGTAAACGGCCTGAACACTGCCTCGTTTAAGACAGAGGTAAATACTGATTCCTAAAATTCTAATTTAATAAATAAATTGAAACTCACACTTCATTGATTTTAAAAAAAAAAAAATTATTTCAAAGTTCTGAAGGAAAATGTAAAAATCAGTCACATTCTTAGCAATTGTCTCCCTTTAAAATAGTTACTTTAAGTTATTTTGTCGTTCTTTAAAGTATTAATCACTTGCTGACAATAAGTCTAAGCAGTACTAGAAAAATTGGAAGTATATCATTGTTTCTCACTAAACTCTTTAATGTAAACTCCCGAAAATGGATTTACCTTGTAAGTACGAATTCCAGAACTACTAAGTGTCACTAATTTTTCCTTTCTCGGTTTTGTGACAGATCCAATTTATAACACCATTTATATCTTAATTGGATAACCTAGAGTGTTCCATGGTTTTATTGGCGATTTCAATTTTATTGAAACGCAGGTTTACAGAAATGTAGCAGAATTATATCGTGGTTACTTTCTTTTTCAAGACGGGTGATTAGTTTCGGTGGAATAAACCTTAATTTCCAAAATTCGTCATGGATTGTGGTTGTTAAATTAAGTGATCTGGGAGTACAAATCTGACCTCCCTAAACAAGAAACTAAATTAAAAATATTCATCAATGGAAAAAATGTTCATTCTGTCCATGTTTTGATAACCCTGAATTACAGCAGTCCTATAGGCTTATTTTCACTGGCGACATTTTTAGCTCAAAAGACAAAGCAAATCTTTCTTGAATTTCGGGACATTTTTATAGAAGTTCAAGATAATGCAATTATTATTTAAAGTAATTTATGTTCAATGATTTTGCATTGCAGCTAGAACATTATGTGGACGATGGAACTGTACATGGAACGAAAACAATCGAATACGTAGAAATTATCGGAGATTTGGATCCAACTACTTACAACAATTTTGATATTTTTGAGAACGTAATGCGGCCTCAAGACTTTCAAGTGATAGACAGTATGTGGTTTCATAAATTCTATCTTCCAGTATTCTCAGTTTTAATTTCTACTCAAGGGTATTTGAACTCTTATGAACTGATTTAAAGTGTTTCTTTAATGTTTATGCAGTTTGTAATAGCTTTGTCGAAAGAGTTAGCGTTGCCAAATTTTAAATGCTAAAAGAACTAAATATAAAATACTTATAGGAAACTGCTTGAATCATAGAAATCGTACTATACTAAGTCAAATTTAATTTCAAAACAGCTATTTTCTTTTGCTACAATAAAAAAAAATTTAATTTAAAAGAATTTATATACATTAACTGAAACTACACTTTATATATTAACTGAGACTATAAGAACTGAAGTATTTTTCCATACAAAATAGAGCGTAGCATTTCCGTTCCTGAAGATTTAACCCTTTAATGCCCGGAAGTATTTCCAGTTTACTTCCTGCTCCATAATATTTATGATAGAATTCAGTATTTTTATATTAAGCATAGGAAATATTCATTTCTTTAGAAATTTAATTATGCCATCATAATTATGTAATTAAAATTTTGCAATTATAAACATGACAATATGAGGGACAAAGGCTTAAAAATATTGCAGTTAGTCTATCGATCTGACCCCGATGCTTCGATATTTAAAACTATTTAAAATTGGGAAAAGTTATTCCTCCACTAGACGGAAAAATTTTTATCAAATAAGAAAAATCCGACCAATTTAAAAAATTCTGCAATTTTAAAACCGAAAATTACTTTAAGGTAATTGCATTTAATTTTCTGCTGACCGATGTATGATGGTCAGGTAGTTGATGTGTAAGAAAGGTCCAGAGATGGAATCCGGGTTAGAGGCATGGATGTTCTCTCTTTCACCTCTCTGTACCATCTGTTCTTACTGTAGGGGTTACGCTGGCACACCATATATGGTGTGACCAAGAAGTCTGCCCTTTTGATACACGAATGACTGTCAATATATGGGTAGGCATTGGGGGAAAAACTTTCAATATTTCAATTTTTAACTTTTTGGAAAAATATTTAGTGGTTTTCCTACAGATTTAATATTTTTTAAAGAAAAGCATTTTAGTGAAGCCGGTTTGCTTGTATTTTGTATTACCTTGATAGTTATACAATATGTGACATTTATCAAATGATTGCCCTTTTGTAAAGCTGTATCTGGAACTATAGATTTGTTAAACTGTAGGGTGCCCAAAAATTAAGGTTTGCGAAGTCTAATAAAAGCAAGTGTTTGCTGCGTTATGCTTGGGAAACTGGTTTTTCCATAAATCTCAAAATTAGTGACAAAGTTGATCCAGATGGCACTACTGAGAAATTACAAGACCAGTGTTTCAAAAATCACCTAATAGCAGAAAAATTGTGGTAGTCTGAGGATAGAATTTATATATTTTATCCTAACATACAGTTGAAGTCACGGGAAATAATTTTTTTATTCTTCAGCGCGATTTGGTGTGCTACGTATTTATATTTAAAGTTTTGTTTCAAAAAAATTTACTTTAACACAAGGAAGAAAACAGTAAGTTTGTCTTTTCATATCGTCTATATTTCAGTGTTAAAACAATTTTTAATTTTTGTAGCACCTGTTGTATTCCAATCTGAGCTGATAGTTATTAAAGACAACTTAAATTCCGTTGTGGTGGGATTTGACAGATTCAACAGTGACAATCTTAAATCCCTTCTGGAAGACGCAGTATCAAAATCAGCAAAAATACATCCAATGACGAACAAACGTATTATGAGCCTCAAAGGTAACGTATAAGAACTTGTCTAACCAATCAATAATTCGTTTACAAATAGTGCATTAAAATGCTAATTGATTAAAAACAAAGATCTTAAATGTGTACTTTTGATTACAAAACAATTATATTCCGTAAATTTCTCATGAATTTTTTAAGCTTATTTAATGTTTCGAAGCTTTTGTGAAAAGGGAAATAAAAAGAAAAACCAGTTTAAGTGCCCTCAACTTGAAGCAAAGTTATAATTTTAATTTTATAACCGTCGTTGAGCAGTTTACAACTACCTATGTTAAACTCCGTAGCCTTGAAATTTTATACCCTATCCAGAAGACATGGGAACTCCTGGATCAGATCCCCCAGAGGTACTGATTTGACATGGAAACTTGGAGGACTTTGACCAAGACAAGTTTGCACAAGTCATCATTCAATACACGGGGATTCTTTGGTCAGCTATATTCGAACTCCCGTTGTCACGAACAAGAGTCCAGCACTCTGCCAACCAGACTATCCCGGCCCAAAGCCATAATTTTAAATTATCCATGCGTAAACAAACATCTAGGCTTAAAAACAAAGCTGAAAAATTTAAATTCTTTAACTTTTTAAAAATCTAAGACTTCACAAAATTTTTCCACTGAGAAGAAAGTTATATTATTTAATTAATGGTATTCCATTCCTGCATATTTTGGAATCCTAACAATGCAGCATTGGAATAACTTTTCATCTATTAAAGTTGGATCAAAAGCTTTTTCATTTCCGCTAAAATGGAGCTTTCCTGCATATTGACATTCTGCTTAATTTCGGTTTGCACGGAGTACAAAACAGCAACCACTCTGAATAACTTTTGATCTTATCATCGGATCTTCTCGTTCTAAGACTCAAACTTAATGGTTACTTAAACTATCCTAATTAGTGCAGACTATATTTTAATATTAAATTTGCTAATTAATAAGTGGCAGATCATGTTCTAAGTTACGAAATCAGACTCAAAAACGTACTTTCTATGAATAAACTGAAGGCAAAATATAAAAACTAACCGAAATGAGAAATATGGTCCTCATAGTATGGCCAGGAGAACAATCCAAAGTTTGGACCCCTTAATGTTAATTTTACTTTTTGCGTATGGAAACTAACGTAAATTTGCGAAATCTCCCTATCATTTGAAGTATGAGTAAAAAACTGTATTTTTTAAAAATAGAAATAGGATCTATAGATCTATTAAATTTTATATTAAAATTTTCACGAACTCGAGACATAGTAAAACTTTTAAGTTTCGGCAATCTTTCTTACAGCACAAGGTTTGAGTATTCCTACAGAGACTCTTGTAAATGGAGTACCAGTTTCTGATCTTCTCAGCAAAGTGGTGACTCTGAACACGGAACAGCAAATAATTGGGGACAAAACATTCAAGACCATTTTGGATTTCAACAAAGTCACTGCTGAAATTGTTAATGAAAGACCACTATCTAGTTTCCTGAACGAATTGGTGTATGTGGATGACAGCAGGCCTGTTTCTTTAAAAGAATTTGCTGGGTAAGTTTTAGATTGCACCAGTTCTGGTTCTTAAAGTTTAAAATGCACATCGTACATTAGAAAATCAAACCAAGAAAAGTCTCAAATTAAAGATCTCTCTTAAATTTTGTTCACAACTGGTTTCTTACTCCATAAGAGCAAAATTAGTGTGGATCCCCTTTGTCCAAAAATGAGATTTGTAAAATCAATTTAAAAATACTGCAAAATAAAGAAATGTGAATTTATCCCCATATTTTTAAAACCAAGTGCAAAGTTTGACAGATGGCGCTGCTGACTAAGGAAATAAGTACCTACTTTAGTCAGCGTAGTCAATCTGAAGTAGGTACTTAATTTCACACTAGAGCTACACAATGGGCCTGAGGGTGATCCAAAGACATACCATCACAATTTTTGATACTCTGTAGAGATCTTATTTGTAAGGCCACTGCCTCAATTTAGACATAGATCTGAAGGAGAAGGAAATTTTATCCAGATCCTTTTACCCATGGTACTACTCGGTGACAGGCGATTGGATTTTTAATTTCAGATTTTGCTTGCACGTATCTTAGCGGAGGCGAGGATCGAACCCCGGCCCTTCCTGACCGGAGTCTGATTCTCTAACCCCTGAGCTGCCCCAGCCCAGAGCATTATTTAAAGCATAATTTGCGACTGGCAACATAGTTTAATCAATTTATTACCCCTCGCAACCTCAATACTTTCTTCCTGATAAATTCACTCCAATTATAATTGTTCAACAAAAATTATGATAATCAGTCCACTTTGCATATTTTTTTAAATTGGAACATGTTTTGATTTTATAAAACGCAAAATCATTCCTTAATAAAATCTCACTTGTTTCACTTTTAGTTCTTTCAATGTGCCCAATATTATGATCCAAAAACCTGTCAATGGGATTGACATACTTCAATTGAGTAAGAGTATTTTCAACAAGACTGGGAATAACGACTTAATGCATCCAATTAAATTTTTAAAAGGAACTGAGTTCAGTAAGTATTTCATTCGTTAATAATTTCACTTGATTATCTGAAAGCTAACGAATGCTTAATATTGTATTTTATGAAAATAAACTCTAAAAGATCGAACATAAGTTTCAGTAAGCCAAATTAAATTTGTATTGCTTAAAGAAATGTTTGGCCTTAAATAGATTATAACTTGTATCTGCTAATGATTTTATCTGGGAAGATCTGACGAGCAAAAAGTTTTACGTTTTCAGTCTCGAAAACTCTAAAATGTTTAATTTTGTGTTCGGAAGTTAGTCGGAAAGTGGTTAAAATTTTAATAAGCGATTTTTTCACATTCTAATTTTTGTTAATTTTTCCTTGCACAGTTTGCTTGTAAAATGAAATGTAGTTATCAATTTGATATTTTGATTGGATATTATGGCCTAAAAGGGCATTTACTTTCAAAATAAACTTTAAATCAGACAAATTTTATATTTAAGCATGCAAGTTCTTATAATATTCTTATAGTAGTTCTTATGGTTATAGTATTGCAAGTTCTTGTTTTTCTTATAGTATTGACTCGCAAAAGACTGATCTTTCATAGTTTTAATTTTATTTCATAAAACAATTTTTATATAAATTAGGACACTTTGGTAAGAATTTGTTTTCCTGTTGCAAATAATTTCATTTAACTGCAAAAATTATTATTTACTGCATTGTTTTACCGCTCATACAATTAATAATTATATAAAAAACCTATATTTGAATACTTTTGAAACAAAATATGTACAATGTACTGTGCACAAATCTAAACAAATTGACTCTATAAAGTTAAAAGTTCTAGGACACAAACTTAATAGATCAAAGGGGTGACCTCAAATATGCCAATTAGTGCAGACTATATTTTAAGTTGCGAAATACTGGCAATGATCACTTTGATGGCAATGATGTCCATTTTCTAAAGTTTTTCTTAGAGGCAGTTCCCCCGTTCATTAACAGTGTCACACGTGACGCTAGCCCTGCATTCACTTGCTATTTAAGTTTCATTTTACCAGTCCTGGTCAAATATCGCAAGTTATATCACAGCACTGTAATATAAAATTTGTTTTCTACATGAATCAATATTTCAATATTTAGGTAGTCTTGTCACTAGATTTAAAATAGATGGAATAGATTTGGACGATCTGATCTACACTAATGGGGAAGAATCAGTGGATGCTTTAAAACTGATGTCTAATCCTATTATGTCAAATGTGTTCGTAACTGGTCTGGTCAATGGATGCGATCTTCAACAGGTTAGAATTTTAATAAGCATATTCTTGCTCACATAATAAAAGTTAAGGGTTTTTTTTATAAAAAAATTACTCAGTTTTAGCATTTTAGAGGAATTATGAGAATTATCAAAATTGTTAATTATTTTTGAGCGCAAATTACTTTCGTGGTCAATGTTGAGTTCACCTATTTTTTAAATGATCTCAATTTGAGGAACTCAAAAAACTGAAACTGCTGTGGATATTTTTTGCATGCTATTCATTTATGGTACTTTATCATTTATAACTGCGTTTAAACTTCTGAAGGATTTTTGACGAGCATAGTTACTCTGTAACCCTAATTTTTAGGTTAACCCAGAATACGAGAACTCCTAGATCAAGTATTGGAATATACGTCTTTAATGTGTAATTTTTAACGTAAAAAGAAACTCCAAAATTAGTACGATGATCAAGATATTTTAATATAAGATCAACCAGCCACTGTGGACATTTTACAGTGGCTAGTAGCAGTTAACGAATCGACCAACCATAGCCGGTATTTGAACCAGGGTTCTCCTTTGAGAGACCTACTTAATCAAAATAATTTACTACATTCGGAGATTTAGTACCAATTATTTTAGGCCAACTTAGTTTTATCCACTGTTTTAGTTAATTAGTATTTTTAAATACAAATTTTCTGCATTCAATTCTATTTTCTCTTAGTTTACTGTTTTAGTAAGAAGTAACCTTTGTTAAAAAAAAAAATGCTCTGCGTTCTTACATTTATCCTCAGTTCACATTTTCAGATTCTAAAGAATGAAATCTTTCTTAACGAAATTTATTCTAGCAGTTCTATGACATTTTGCAATTTTAGTGACTGGTTTTATAAATATCTAAATTGTATCTAAATCGTAGACGTAAAGATCTCGTGCTCCAATAATTTCAAAATTTCTTTCTCATAAAATGAATGTTTTTAGATACAAAAGAATGCACTCTACGCCAACAAACCGGCACAGGTTGTCCAGGAAGAGATAACTGTAGAAAATATCGACGTGATTGGTGATGTTTACGTTGAAGATGTAATGAATCAAGTGCCAGTGCATGACTTGATCAAGAAATTTATAATGCTGACAGGGGACCAAGTCGTAACATCAGACGTAGTTTTGGAAGCTGGTGGGCAGGCTGCAAGTTTGAACCTGGCTGAAGGCATTGCGGACTTCAATTTGCCTTTCATAATGAGTGACGCGGTTCGACGGTCTGTACCACAAGTAAGGTTTCAGTTTGGTTTCTTTTTTCTCATCAATGTGCCTTTTACTAATGAAAATATTTCAAACAATATTTTCAGTATAATGTTTCGAAAATTTTCATTAAGAAGTTTCTTAAGAAAATTTTAAAACTTAACTTTAACCAGTGCCTTAAACTTGAAATTATTTTATTACTCGAACTTACCGTATATTTCTAAATATAAGCCCATTTGCATGTATAAGCTGCTGAGTACGCTATTTACTTAGAAATTCTCCTAATCATTCAAAATTTGTTTATAAGCTGACGTTAAAAAAGTGTCATGCTAATCTTGGGAATAACCCATTCTCTTGTAGTAACGGTTTCATAGTGTTTAAAAGTATGGATCTTTCGTAATTAGAATGAAAAATAATAGCATTCCTTTCATATTGTCGGTATGTGTTTCTTACTCAATTTTTATATTTAGGCATTAAGTTGTAAACTATTTTATGTATTTTTATGTTCCGTTCGTAAAAATACATGAAATAGTTGAAAACTTGTACATACGTTTCGAGATATTTATTGACCATAGCTTATGCTCGAGAAAAGTATATTTTGGGGATGTCCTCCTGGAATTCTTCTAAGTTACTGGATCTGACTATAAGCAGACCCCCCCTACATTTCAGCTTTCGAAAATTTTCTAAATTCTCCAGCTTATGTAGAGAAATATACAGTACTATCTTACTATAAAGCATTAGTGTTAAAACAAGTACTTTAAAAATTTGAGAAAAAAAATAGCCAATTGCGGAACAGTTCCACTTTAAAAACTGCAGATTGACTGGAATAATTTTTATCTTCATATTTTTTAACCCAATCTGTGCAATTGATTTGATAGGTTGGAAAAAGCTGATTTTTTCGAAGATTAGGTCTCCTTGAAAAATACCAATTATCTAATAGTATGCTACCTTTGACTATAGAGATTGCATCTGTTATTCATGCATGATTATTATCATACCTTTTTGCTAATTAGGAAAATGGTGCAGAATACCAACATGAGGAAAAGCAATTTTTGTTTCATATCCAATTATTTAATGAATGAAAAGTCACTCCAACAGTTTTTGCCAATTTGCAAAAACTAAACCTAGATGAAAAAATCTTGCCAAAGTTAAAATATATTTTAAAATTTTGTAAAGCTAATAGTTGTCTTAATATCTAGACTATTTTTTAAGGAAAGATACTTTTAGTTTGAAATCAATTTTGAGTTTAACGTTCTCAAGCAGTAACTTTGTTTTCCTTTGTCAAGATTCTTAAAACTTATGAAGTTCCTTTCTTTAAAAGGACATCAATGGCTACAAGAAGTTTAAATCTTTCACAAGCGAAGTCCTCGATGCTAAAGATCTCTTTGTAGCTGGATATCTACAGGGGATCGACGCAAACGACCTCTTTGAAAATGTGGTCTTGAAGCAAGGACTCCAGTACGTTGACAGTGAGAAGATATTTAAATCTTTCAAGACTGATGTAGCCACGGTGGAAGGTAAGTTTTTGTACTGACAAATTCGAATAAAACAATCTTTTGCTATTACCTTTATTGAATACAGATATGATGAAAGCAAAAATTCTTGCACATGAGTTAATTGCAAATATTTCAAAACTCTATCATTGGAGGTCACAGAACAATACTTACCGACAATACAAATCAGCTCTTTTGGGGAACATTCAAAATGTTGTAAAAAGCAAATGAGATTTCAGATTACGAAGTAGTTTAAGTATGTCAAGCACTATAATAAGTAAATTTCAATTTACATTTCGAACAACATAAGTTAATTCAGGAGATTTAATTTTCATTAAGTTTTGGTACATATAGTTATCCGCGAAATTTATAAACCACCTTAAAAAGTATTAAAGAAGTTCCATAATGTCTTAAAAAGGATTAATGATGCAGAAAACTCCTATTACAGAAAACAGTAAAAGCACGTTTTCCTGTGTTCTAATAATTTCGTAATTTAAGAGTTAACAGATGCTGATTGAACAGAACTGTAAAATGCTGTTTTCAAATCATATCAAAAGCAAACAGCGTTGTGCAACTTGAACTAAAACTATGGTAATACAGATCTACGTTTCTAATCGGAACCAAACAGTAGATTGCTATATCCTCACATTTTTTTAAATAGATTTTTCAAATCATCAGTCAGTTTTAGAAACTCTGTACTTCTCAATCGATTAGTTGCTAGATTTCTGCTTATTACTGAACAACTTTCATTCTTAATCTTCAGTTTTGTGGTAATTGTAGATTTTCACATGTTCAATTTCTTAAAGGACACTTCAATGGTCTCCTATTACCAGACGACATAGTTCGGGTAGACACAACAGAAACCATCAATAGCACAACATATTTCATGTCCGATTTGATTGCGGCATCTGACGTTGACGTTCATGGCAACTTGGATGGCATAAATGTGACCAGCCTTTTGCAAAACCGGGTTACTTTGTCTACAGACCAGGACGTGAATTCCAAATTGAAATTCCAATCTGATGTCTCGGTGCGAGGTAAGAAAGCCATTATTGGACAAATTTTCTGTTTCGTATGTTTCTAGTTTTCATTTAACTCCATAATTTTACTCTACACTAGATGTTCCGCAATCACCGCCCTTGATGTATGTTCTCAGAAACCTTGTCAAAAATGGATACAAAACTATATTTAGTAGGGATGGCAAATATGAAACAAAGGATTTCTGTTGACTCACTAGTGAAAATGCACTGTGAAAACATCAAAATTAGTTTGATTACCTTAATTTCAATAAATGCCTTTTAACTCCTGTTCTCACAAATAGGTTTTTAGCCCTGCAATCTTAAGTGATTTATTGTATTTTTAGTTTTTTATTCTCTGAAATATGTATTTTTGGCTTAATTTTTGACAAGGTTTTTAAACCTACATTAAAGACGGTTATTGCGGGAATATGAATTTTCTGACTAACGATAAGGTGCAATATATCAATAAATCTATCCTTCAAGCACTACATATTACACTCGATAAGTATAATATTGTAAATCTGTCTTCTAAAAGTTTTCAGCGCATTAAAATTCTTAAATTCAAATTTTTAGTGCCGTTCAAGTTACCAATAAAGTTGAGCAACATACAACTAATAGCAATCTTCAAACCACTAATTCTCCCGCCCCCGTATGTTTTTACAATTCTCATTGATATCTGCAACCATTCACAAGTTTTCGGTTTTTAAATCATACATAATTCTTCATGGTATAAAACTCATAACTGGTTTTAAATTTTTTATAAACTTCAAAAGTTTTGCTGTTTTCTATTTCCGAGGGACATTGCCGCTATTAATCAGAAAACAAGTGAACAGGTAGCGCTGTTGATAAGAAAACGATAGAAAAAACTTTTCGATATTTTCCTTAAGTGAATAAATTTTTTAATTGACATTTTAGTAAATTTGATTAAATTAGCTTCAAAATTAACAAGTTTACAATAGGAAGTTTGGAATCATCCTTCCATACCTCTATTTCTTGTTAGCAAGATTAAAATCTGCAAATCCCTATCACTCATTTAAGCTGTTCGCGTCATATCGTCATCACTCTTGCGCTTTGATTTTGTACAGAAAAAAAGTTTCGTGTCAGATTGCTTGTTGCTCCGTCAAACAAGATCTTATATGACCAGGGAGTCTTAAAAAAAATACATATGTTGCCAACTCTAACACAGTCCTGTTGCCATAACTTCGACTAATTTGATCTGTAACTAAATAAAAATGTCTGAATTTAGCTTGAAAAAATTCATTTAGAGCTTATAATTTCCACTTCTGCTAGACCATCCTTTAAAAACTTATAATTGTACCAAATAAGTTTCTTTTTTCTTCAAAAGGTGATTTGCTAATTGATGGAATGGTCAATGACGTCGCATTGGATATGGTGGCAAAGAAATCTAACAACATTCCCCTTAATGGCTACAAAGTATTCGTGAGAGATTTTCACAGCGATGGATCCTTGGCTGCATCTCCAATTAATGGCCACAATGTTCATTCTTTGGATCAGGCTATTGTAAAGCACAATAGAGAAGAATTTGTGAAGGAATTGCAGGTATGTATCCGTAATTTAAATGTAAGTTCATCTGAGACTTGTGATGTGATACAAATGACCATTGATATGGTCGGAAAAACATTTTCTTTGTAGTTAACTTAAACTACTTTTTTTCTAATGTAGCGACTACAAATTACTTTCGTTACTTTTACGAGCTTTACGCTACGTTTGTCATTTGAGAGCACGAGCCTGGAATGGTAAAAAAAGAAAAAAATTAAGTAACACTGTAGACAAACTTGCGTAGTGTTTGTTTGGTGCAACAAGGCCACATCTAGCCCTTTAAACTTAATACATTTAATTCACAACCAAAAATGCAATTATTCAAGCCAAGAACTAGATTTAGAATATAAGGATAAGATTACAGGGAATTTTTTCAAAGATAAGATTTGAAGCAATCTGTCATATTAATTTTATCTGTTCATAATTTGTTTTAAAAAGGGTATTTAAAAATTTTATATCAAACGAAGACAGCATTAAAAGCAGAAAAACATACTAGTTTATATTTTTCTTTATGGTCCGACTTATTTTTGAACTCCACTTGATTTTGTATCTTTGTGCACATAATTTTGATTCTTCATCTCGTGAGGGTCCCGCAGTGGACTGATCGTTAAGACACGGTTCCCTGCAGATCACCGAAGGCAAGCATCACTGGCTGCGGTCAGTGTGCGGGTGAGTGACCACTTGGATCAGTCTGCGTAGGGACCGAGGGTGTGCGGTATTGGTCCTCGTTAAACCGTTCTACCGTAAAGTGCTTAACTACGCGTGCAGGTCGTCGGGCTACCGAAGCGGGGGGTGCATCCCCTCTGCAGAGGATCAAAATTGTGATGGCATGTCTTCGGATCATCCCGAGGGATGTTTCCCAGACAGTCGCCAATAGCCCATTGTGCAGCTCTAGTGCGACGTAAATGAACTACAACCAACAATCATCTCGTGAGGATAAACTATTCAACATATTATATATTAAAAAATGATGCTATAGTATTGTCAATAAATATCATGCATGACATATTTCAGAATTCGAAAAACAGTTTTAAACAATAAAAATATTGATTTGATATTTATGAAAAGCAATCTCTTACATTTGCTCCTAATTTTTTTCCCTCTAACTTTAAAACACAGTTTAAACCAACGTTAAAATATCGCTTTGCCCACTCAGTTTAAAGCGCTGTTAACTCAACTAACTTAAATCCCATACAATTTATTTTTGGCAAGTATAGCCGCTACTGACAGCTTTCATTACTTTAAACTTTATAATTATGAATGAAATTTTTTCATCTCCTTAAAATATTCGTGCGCCTGATTTTATTTATTTTTAACCTCAGCTATTTAGCAAACCTTTAGAAGCTAGAAGTTATCTCTTCTCCGATTTGATTAACGACATATCACTTTCTGGAATAACCTCGACATTCTTCGAAGCTGTCAACAGTTTAAATGGAACACTGAGTTACCTGAAGAATTTGAGTTACGAGTACTGGCAACAACTTAGTGAGCATCTGAATGTGGTGCACAGTAAGTACATCTTCAGATGAAACTACCTCATGCTGTTTTTATTTTTATCTTCATCTCCCTCTATTCTTTTCAGATAAAGTATCGAAGTTTGCATATTTCATTTTACTGCAAGAGATTAATTTGGGTCCAACCATGAAAATACTGCAAGGATATCGCTTAGAGTAAGTATCTGTTCTTTATATTGACTGTACAACTAATTGTACTAGGTCATTATTAACATTACCATAAATATTTTAACATTGGTTTTTGGGAATAAACTTCAAATTCGTATGGCAGAATTGAATTATCTAATGAATAATAAACTTTTCAATTTTTACTCTTTCACAGTTCTCAATTCTTTAAATTATCAGAAAAATTATTAAATTTATAATTGGAAATATTATAATCGGAAATATAATCTAAAAGATAATTGTTTTATGAATTTACTAATATTAAATTAAAAAATCTAAAGTTTAAATGCAATCGGTTAAAAAATATAGTACTTTTCATAATTATCTGTATTCAGCATTTTCTCATTTAATACAGCATGACTACCTGTTAAACAACATATGGTAGTAATAAAATTTTATTTTGAGATGTATTTGCATACATTGGGAGCTTGTTTTGCAATTTTTCAGACACTCTACGAGTGAATTCTCCCATTCTATGGTCATATGGACATCTCAGAAACAATGCACTTACCTTGAAAGATGCTGTCACGAGGAATACTCTTACTGGATAAGGGTGAAGAAGTCTGGTCACTTGATTGTGGACAGCGAACCAGAGCCAGGAAGATTATATCCAATACCTGATCCAGTTCTCACTCCAACGCGAAAAGACTTCTTCATATGGACGAATGCAAGAGGTTTTCAACCTAAATGGTGAGTACTACAATATTTTTATCTATTTTATGGTTCGTAAACTATTCCCTTTCCTCTAAACATTTAGTTAAAAACTTGCATGCTAGATCGTAGCACCATGAATTTCAATGCATCACTCGCGTCCTACACAGCTATTCGACCCACTTAGCAACTATTGCCTGCCAGGTGGCCGAGCGGTTAGCGTACCGGACTGCGAACCAAAAGGTTGCGGGTTCGTATCCCGCATAGAGTATGGATGTATTTGGCTGTTCTCTGTTGTGTCCCACACTGAACTGATCGTAAAGACACGTTTCTCTGCAGAACACCTATGTCAGGCATCACTGGCTGTGGTCTATAAATTGGTGGGTGACCAGCTTGCGTGCGGACCGAGGGTGGACGGTATCACTCCTCTTTAAACTGTTCTACCGTAAAGTGCTAAACTTTGTGCGCAGGTCGTCGGTCTACCAAAGCGAGGGAATCATCTCCTCTGCAGAGGATCAAAACTGCGATTGCATGTCTTCGGATCATCCTCGGGGATGTTTCCCAGACCGTCGCCAATAGCCCATTGTGCAGTTCTAGTGCGATGTAAATAAAGTGCCTACCTAATTGTCCCTGTTGTGTGAATGTAGCTCACCCTATGAACATGTATCTGTGGCAGTGTAGGGTTGATAATGCTAGCCTCCGTGATTTAGGTTGTTAAGTTTCAGGTGCCCACAGAGTAACTTTTAAGAGCAACACTTCCAGCGTCTTTCGAGGCAAAGAGCGAAAGTTCAATGCCTGCCTCTAAAAAAAACTTCAAAACAATTTCCAGCAGTTTAAGTTTCCATCTCTCGCGTTATATGGTGCTACTAAATTAACAGTAATCGCAGTTGAACAGTGGGATATTAATCCCACTGTTTACTTGTGACTATACGAAACACAACACAGCAGCAACTAAACTCTTAAAAATTAAGACACAGAACTGCACTGGTGTGCCAAACGCTCACGGCCTCTCACTTAACCATTTCTGTCACTTCCGTTAACCAGATGAGCATTGTAGCGAAGACTGCTTCTTAAAGCAACCTTATCTGCAGAGACTGAGTTAGTAATTGAGTACCTTCCCAGAACCTTTAGTTTAGAGACTTAAGGAAATGCAACCTAGACACACTACCAACCTGAAACAAAATCGTTCTATTTTAGATGTTAAAATTCCATAGTCAGTGTTCTATCTATATATTCAACTAAATTGAAATTTTTTGATCTTTTTTTTTAACATAAAAGTATCTTTTATGAAAATAAATCTTTTGAGCTACATAACCTTTTATAGCTTTTAATACATATCGAACTTATCAGTTTTATTGAATGTGCCAAAAACACAACAACCAAGCTTTTAAACTTTTTGAAGTTTAAATTTCATACTAAGCTAAAAAAATCTCTCCTAAATTTAAAATGTCTGAGAGATCAATCTAAAACAAATGTTTCATTTTTTCTTTTCATATACTAAGAACTTTAAAGATAGTTTTATTTATTTTTAAACAAGGTGCAATGATAAGAGGGACGAGAAAATGAAGCTTGCATCTTTAACAGATTCCAAATACTTGGATGTATTTATGGAGATTAAGAATTCACCAACCTTGAGTGACATAAAATCATTCAGAAGAGTCCATTTGTATGCTGTAGCCGGATTCTATTATGATAGAAAAGAGGGTAAGAATAGTTACCTATTTTTAATTAATGATTTGAAAAGCGTTAATATTTATAAACAATTGGTTCAAGAAATTTTCAAGATGCATCCATTGAAGCTTGAAAGAAGTAAGGTGTTCAAAAATGGACACTTTTAAATATTTTTAGTCTCTAAGGAAACAATACACATTAAGTCAAAGTAATGAGTAAAATGTTTTTATCAAACTTTAACGAATCATTATAGTGATTGATCAGAGCAAATAAATTAATATATTCAAAAGCCACTTTATTCAATTAATAGAGCTGAAATTAGCTGTGGTCACAGTAGTCACATTAAACTGTGTAGTTGTCAACATTTTTAGTTTTGATATCAACTAGATGTTTTACAGGGTAAATCTTAATAATAATAATTCGGAGTTGGACAAAATTGATTTTTCTTTTGTTTCTCTTAATCTGACTCCATATACTTATTCTTAGTTCCTCTTACAAAGACTCTAAAGCTGGTATTTTTTAAACATCCTATGGATATTCAATTGTGGATACAGGATTTTCTTTCCAGGATTTCGTAACGTAACTTTAAAACTTTTAATAGATTTTTGCAATTTTATTGAGATTGTATTGAAGTATATTGTTTGAATTGTCATTTTGAAACGCGTGGATAACTCTTGGGCATTTTTAATTTAAAAGACATTAAATATTCAACACAAATTACTCGTAAATGAATCCTTCAATATCCTTTCAGGTGTTTACAGCAACGCTGTAGTCTACATATTCAACGAAGTAAAACGTGAATGGTCAGAGCATCAAATCCTGCCCTCTTCAGGCGTCTTATCCCTGGATGTCACTCGTGACTCAGAAGACAATATCTTATTGGCTATTGGATCGGGAATAGGGTCGTATTCATCTGTCTACAAGTGGGATGACGCTCAACATGAAGTAAGTTGATAGTATCGTAAGTTATTGTAACAATAACTTACTAACCTAATTAAAGAACATATATTAATATTAAAGTGAAAAAAAACTCAATCGAAATCTATCAAATTTTTAAGGAAGGCTGATGTACAAGATATCAAAACCTGTTTAATTGTCGATTGTAACTCAAAGGTACTTCTAATAACTAAACTTATCAACGTTTCCTCTGGGTATCTAACACGTTTTGATGTTTGCAGTTCCACCTTCTTTGGTAGTGATTCGTGAGATTTTGTTAAAGGTATACTTTCTTAGACTTCAGATTCGGAATGTATTTCCTTTTTCTCAATTTTTGATAAGGATCCTTAAGATTATTAGCGGTCAGTACAGAACACCGTGTATATTTCTAACTAACATGATCCTAAAATTCACTTGAAAAAGTTTTTGATATCCACTCTTTAAAAGTGTCCATTTAAAGTATTTCTAACCTTATTTTTCTTCAGCTTTATTACATAAATATCAATGTTGTAAGGAGTCTATTTTCTTGTAGTTTAAGATCTTGCAATATGTTAGCTCGACGTACGTCACAAGCACATTATGGCTGAAACGTGGACAGATCCAGCTTCTGGCCATGGCCAACGTGGACGAGTGGCCCAGCAAAGAAGGTTTCTGCACTGAAATGGTTTCTGGTGGAGAGATAAATATTTATACTTACGACTACAGCATTCAATGGATTCAAAGCATTCCTTTGAGTGGAGTGATTTCTTTAGTGCACTTCACTTTCGAAGGTAAGCAGTCAATTTTTTTATAGACAGTAAAATAAATTAAACAAGTCAACCCATGAAGTATTTAAAGTTTATTTCCGATTGGATATAATTAATTATAATAAATTGTTAATATGAGCAATAAGATGAGGAATTTCAGTTCTCATATGCGCAGCATTGAACTCCGTAAATAAGTACCATGCCGCTTATATGATGGCATTGATCTGTTAAGTTTTAAAATAACTTTAAATTCTGTTTCTTTTAAGCATGAAGTTAACCTTCTGAGCATTTTAGTGATCTTTCCTTTATTTCTGTATCAAACTGTATAACGCTGCCTTATGTTGTGAATTGAGTTAATTTCATTTGAAATAAACGCAAAATAACTATCGGAACTTGGCCTGTTAAACTTTACATAGACTCAATCTTTTAACACGTTCGCGCCAATCTTGCATGAGTAGCATCCAGAGCAAACAAATTAAGTCGGAATATGGAGTTAGTAATTCAATTTGTCTTATCGACGATCAGCACGTTTAAATCAGATTTAACTTTTTTATTTTTCTTTGACTTTGTCTATAAAGATGTGACCTCACAATCTAAATTCCGACTAGTTATCGCACTCGGATATCTACAAAAGCTGTGCTCCCCAGCTTTTTTATTGCATACGACCGATCAATGTGTGATAATTTTACCACGGCCTGTCGAGACATGGGTAAAGAGACGTTGATTGTTTATATTTTAGATTGTTTTGATTCAATAATTTTAATTTAATTGCATTTAAACATGATTTAAATGCACGTAAATATTTATTTTGCACGTTATGCAAAATAAAATGCAATTAAAATGCACGGTATTGTTGCAGTTTTAGGCAATACCTCCTAGAAAAGAGAAGGCCTCAGCACGAGTTGCCATAAAGAAGAAATTTAATCCTTTAGTGGTCCAAACGTAGTGACATCTTTCGTATTAACCACCACTGCGCAGTTTAGTAGTCCGAACGTAGTGAAATCATATTTTCTATCCACTGCGCAGTTTTGATCCGTGCTGATGCCTTCTACTCTTCTAGTAGTTGTTGCTTTAGGTGTCTCTCAGAAACCGGTTAACCTCCCATCCATAAAGATTCGTACAAACCCAAGATCAATCACCACAAAAAATAAAATGGAAATAATTTAGCATTGGGCGTCCTGGTACAATTTGATCCATGGACCGGCAGTTAGAACCTGTACTAGAGTGTACAACTAAATTTAATTTTTTGATAGTTTCTAACAAAATGTCATTTTCGTTAAATATCTATTAATTCGTTAAATGGCTATTAATTCAAACCATTTTCGGTGTAATCAGTACTTTAAATCTTCACTGGAGCTCTGTCGAATAGCAATGTCAATCATTTCACGACAGTTTAGAGCAGAATTTGTCGTGATAGAAAATTCAGAATGGCAAAAATCAATTTTTCTCTTTATTTGTACTGGATGACAATACTGCCGTGCAATATAAAAATCAATGTAAGCGACAAATTCAGAATTTATACGTATATTTGGCATTTTCGTGTGAGCGGCATGTCTCAATTTTGAAAACTTTAAGGATATTAATCCCACTGTTTA